GTAGCTGTGACTAAGAAAAAGAGATATATCTGATTTTTTTAAAGTATTCAATTAAAAGTCTGAGAAAAAGAATTATGACTTTTTATGAGATCGATAGCCTCTATGACATCAACCATTATTATAATGATGGTTGGCCAAGAATACCAAATAGTACCATTTAAACCTTTACTAGGCAAGATTTCTAAGTTGATACAGTTTTCTTTAATTCATTCCCTATCCTTGCATTAATGCCCTAAGATACTTCTGGCTATCTCTCTTAACAACTGGCACCACATCAAACATTCAAAAAAACCACCTCTCTTCCCATGGTGGGGTAGGGGAGAATTGAGAAAAAAATTTTGCTTCAGAGTTTCCTTTAGTCATGATGAGGCTGATGCTTATCATCATAATTGACTGTGTAGGTAGACATCACAGTGGTATGAAGGGAGAGTTAGGTAGTAATGAGCCTTCCACTCTCTTCCTTTCACAGACGACCCCTCCACCATGTTTAGCCTCTTAGGTTACATAGCCTTGGAGGTATTAAACATTTGTTTCCCCAGTTTCTTTCTCCTTTACCTAAGACTTAAAACCAACAGCAGCTCTAACCAATGGGGGGTACCTTCTAACCATCATCAGGGGCTGGTGTCTGTGTCTACTTCATTTTCACACCCAGGTACCTCCAACTGCACTGCTTGGATATTTTAAAGCTCAATTCTCTTAGTATCTTAGAGTGAAATCAGAAAAAGAGATTCACTGAGTGGAAAGGAAACAAAATTCCCTTTCCATTTAATACTTTTAGTTCATGATTCTTTAGATCTGTAAGTCAGGAAAAAAAAGTGAGGCGACCTGTTTTATTATATTTGGGGGATAATTTCCAGGGTGGGGGAGGCGGTCAGGATACATCTGCTGTAAGATTTTTCTATTAAAGGGAAACGAATTCTCCAACCAATAGACAACCTGATACTAGTTTGCTATCACAGGTACCAAATAGAAAACTTCTGAGGGAAAAATTCCATGATGCCAACACTCTCAAAGCTCCCACACAACATTACAGTGCAGTGCTGTGTGAAAACTAGTCTTATTTCCAAAAACACTTGGCGGATTCATTTTCTTCCTGTTTCCATGCTTGTTCTGTGCTGTGTACTGGCTGGTACCTAATCCTCTGAGTGGATTCCTTAAAGGTCTTGCAAATACAGCTGATGAGAAAGCTGAATAAAGCCTTCTCTGCCACATTGCAAAAAGAGAAGTTTTTATTAATGGATAATGTATATCTCTTTTATTCTTTCCTCAAACTCAGCCTGGAAACCAGAACTTAGCTGCCAATGTGCTGGAGGTAAATGCTTCACAGACACACAGACAAACCACAGGAAGCCTCTCCTTCACGCCTTCCTTCTTTGGTGCTTTCTAACTGAATCACTTCTTAACCTGACAGTGGCTCCAGCTAAGGTCGCTGACATGGCCACCATCTGCTGATTTGGGGCTTCACACCTGCACAGACCTCCCCTCATCCCCCGCCCACATGACACTCTCATATTGCTTTTCATAAACCTCTTCTCCTTGCTCCTGTCCTCCTGACCCATAGCTGTACCTCAGGCTCTTTCACTACAGACTGGTCCTTCCCCTCCAGTGAGTCCTTCCCTGCCATCCTAGATGAGCTCAGGTAGCTGACTCTTGATACCCCTGACCATTCTGGAACCTTCCCCAAACATGGGTCAGAGGTCAGCCATGACAGATGCTGCCATGCATTAAATTATTCCTCCTTCCTTTGCCTCCATCACTTACTGAACAGATCTCCATGGGCCAAACACAAGGACTGGTTGATTTCTTGTCTGTCATCTTATTTTGCTGCTGGGCATTTTTACTCACACAGAGGTAAATTATATCTAAACCAACTCCATATAGTCCGTCCGGCCAGAAAATCCTTTACAGTCATCCTCACAAGCCTACTTGGAGATGGAAAAGTCAACTCTATTCTCCTCACTCATTTTAGAGTCATTTATATTTACAGTGTTGCTCTAGCTACTGAGATATACAGTGATTTGCCTTGATAAAATTTTTTGTCTCAAAAAAAGTAATTACCTCAGAAATTTAGATAAGTACACATATATTATGATGATTAGATTATAGGGAAAGTCTAAAATTTTTCAAGATTTTAACCCAGTAATAAATCCTGGTAGATAACAGTTTGCCTCTGAGATTCATACAAATGTGTCCTGTGTGAATAGTTCGGATAGCCTTGTTTCTCACATACATAATTCCTGACCTCATGGTGCTAATTCTTGCTTCTCTCTCATTAACAACTACATCTTTTGAACCTCTGGTTCATTACAGGGATGAATGATGTAAATACTGTTTGTCTACACTGCAGAAATTTAGTCCTCTGATTTTTTGGAATTACTTTTCCTGGGCCATTCTGACATAGAAATGTGTGAATTCATTTATGGTTTTACATAGCAATAATTTATTTTCCACTCAGAGCAATATAGAAATACTTCCTAAAAAAAGATATTTAAAAAAAAAAAAAAAAGAAATACTTCCTATACATATGACATCCTTTAAATATGTCTTTATGACAAGCTGTCCCTAAGAAATGATTCATGAATGACTAAAATGCTTTCAAATTTTAAGGTACAGATTTTCAATCATATAATGTATAGATAATGGCTTTATTTTGAAAGGTACACAACGCTAGGCCAAAAAAAAAAGGGAATTTTTTTCTAAAATTGATTTCATAATGCAGTTCAAAATAAGCACTGTTATAAACAAAATTTTAGTTGTGGTATATAGTTTTCTATGTTGTGTCAAGGTCATAAACCTAAAAATTTCATGCAGAGGGAAATATTATAAGCCATATGTTTTTCAAGATTGCAATTACAGAAGACAAAGGGTACTTTTTAGTATCTTTCTTAAATATTTAACAATACTTTAGATGGAGTTTCATATTCATTCAATGGCTGCATGTAAAACTTGGCTGTGAAAAGTTCCAGTTAGTGACTGGGCTACAGAAAAACAAAAACAAAAACAAAACAAAACAAAAAAACCACACAAAACACTTAAAAACTCACTTTCCAGGACACACCCCACCAGTCACTACAGCCAGGAGCTCAGCAGGCTGGGCTCTCCTCATCTTCTCCTGTGTTTTCAATAGTTCTTCACTTTTAAAACTTTAAAGAATGGTAGGGCCTGAGACCAAAGATACAGAACAGTGATAATATATTAATTTGTATACTAACTGATTCAATCTGGTATTTTTAAGACTCTTCAGGAGCCTTAAATGCATACATATAGTCTGGTGGGCACAATCAAAGCTAACTGTAACTGAACTTGGTTTCGAGTTACAATTGAAATTGTACCTCCGTTCTCCAAGAGATGATTTTCCTAATAATTATTTCAGTCTAACAATAAAGTATTTTCTAAAATTATAAGGGTATTATTTCATTAGTAAACTCCTACCTGGTTTAACAGGATGAAAGACTAAGTCTATTTGCAGTATTTTTTTTTTTAACCCATAATCAATGTTACTGACAACATCAAAACAGGATTCAAGGCAATTTTCCTATGTTTAGTAACAAAGTAACACGATGGTTTTTCACAAGAATTCTCCTGCTTTTAGCACTCACTGTAACACCTTATAACAATAGGATTGGGAATATATTTACAAAACAACCAAACTGATTAGGGAGAGGTGGCAAAAATATTCTCAAGTAATCCATCAAAGTCACAGACAGCTCTGAAGCGTTTGGGGTAGGTCAGTGCCTCCCATCCTTTGAATGTCCAGGGCTCTTCAGGGAGCAGACCTATAAGACACGGTGGCTTCTGATGAGAGAGTAGTTTCTGGAACAGCTTAGAGAAGTACGTAATCAGTAAGCACCATCATTACAATGGAATGTTGGTTGTGGATGTGGTACAGCTACGAAACAGTGAAATTAGATCGACTCTTGGTCCTTTCAAAAGATGTGCTTTAAAGTGAAACATCATGGAAATATGCAATTAATTGACTACCTCCATTTCAGGCCTGTATTTTAGAAGTTGAAACTGTTTTAAAATAAGTAGAAAAAGTTCACAAATGGTGGTTTTTACCTAGGGGTATATGTGTGTTTGTGTGTATTCAGCTGTAAGGTATTTTAACCAAACGCTCTCACTAATGTTTCGGCTCATTCGCATGCATTATGTGATCTCTACCATGACGTGTGCTGTGTTGTGGATAGACAGGCATCCTTAACAGTGGTGAGCTCAACTTCTGAACTCGGTTGATCCAATTCAAACACAATATAATCTATTGAATGTCTACAACGTTATTAGTGCAGGTTGAACGCATAGAAGCATATATATGATTCTCCGACAAGTATCTTGAGATATCCTGGGGGACATAGAATACTCAGAGAGATTAAAGCAATCAAAACAATAAATTATTAAGAAACCAAAAGGAGGCCTATCAAGTGCTAAATGAGTTTGGAACAGGGAGAAGCCAGTGGCTTAGCAGAAAAGCTCGATTCTTCTAGAATAGATTGCTTCATGAGACATAAGCCCAAACAGTTGTGTTCCTTATGTTATCCCTTTGCCTAGAAACATCCATTCACTAGAGGATAGCCCTAAGTCTGAGAACCAGTGTCCTTCCTCCTGTCCAAGAAGATTCCTTTCAAATCCCTCACGCAGAGCAGAGTAACAATGTTCTGACCACTCATCAGGACCATAAAAGCCAATTCACCCCCTGCATTTATTTTATACTGACTCCCCCGGATGCTTTTAGCATCTCTGGTTGGTAGAGGGGCACGCCCACTGGCCAGCTGCTTCTGTTCTTCCGAATTACCTCCTGTGCCCTCTGACACATAAGACAGTGATTTCAGAAATAAAGGAAGATAGAGAGGACATTGAAAAAATCTCTAGACATCAGTTTTCTAAGTAAATAAAGTTTGACAGCTGACTACTGTCATAAGAGTGAAGTCTCTTATTGTCTTCTAAAGGGATGATGTTAACAGCGGACTGTGTGCTATAACAGGATGTCTTTGCTCTCTTCTCAGAGCCAGATAACAGTGAATGGAAACTCTGGAGGTGCTGTGAGTCCAATGAGTTACTATCAAAGGCCGTTTTCCCCTTCAGCTTACTCTCTCCCAGGCTCGCTCAATTCAAGCATTATCATGCAGCATGGCCGCTCACTGGGTGAGTCACTTGATAGCCCTGATTTCCATGATAACTGCAACACAACAAGTACAAACCACACGGGAAGATACCAGAGCAACTTTTCAAAAAAGGAGCAAGAGACATTCAACACTCCACTATTTAATGACCCTCTCCTAGGGGAGGAATCAAGAGCAGAGGATTCAACACCAGAGGACATAGGCATCCAGGGATCCCAAGACAACGGCTGCTTCTCCCTCTGAGGCTATTAAGTGCTCGGGGTTTGGGGTAGAAAGAAAAAGGGGGCCAGTTAGGCAGGAGAGTTCACACGACCACAGAACATTTGCGTAGCACATGTCCACGGATGGCAAATCCCATCCATGTTCAAGACAGCCTGTTCTCTTGTGAAAAAGCTCTCATTGCAGAAAATGGTCTTGGTATTTGTAGAGAATTGTTGAACAGTTAAAATAGTCTAAAAAGGGGACAGGCTGCCTCACCAAACAGTAAACAGTAAACCACTGCCTCACAGAGTAGCAAACGGCTGCTCGAACTGAGACCAGAAGACCAGAAGTCAGGGAAAGGCACTCCTTTCAATAATGATCCCTGAATTTTATAGAGAGTTCTTAATCCTTTGAAAAATTTAGAATTTGATGAAAGAGAGCTGTCCTCCAGGAAAAAAAAAAATGAATATTTGTTTGTAAAAAAGTTGTAAGTCTGTAATTTCACGGGGCTTGGGACCTCTTTGAAGCCTCCTGGATAAGAACTTGTACCATATAATGACAAACATTTTTATGTGGCAAAATATATTAGAACTATTTAGAAAATAATAGAAGTATTTCTTAGTTTTTAAAAACATTAACAAAAAAAACCCCACCCAAAACACTAAAAATCAAACCAAATCAAACCATCATCCAAATTCCAGCTGAGAAAGTTTCCATGATGTTGGCAACCGGAAAGCTTCCAGGCAGCAGGGAGGAAGGTGGTGGAAAGTGAGCCAGCTACACACCTCTCAGGAAATCAGGACAGGACCAATGCTCTGGGCACCACCAACCAGTGACAGAAAGAAAGTCGAACACAGGGCTTTCACTCCCATTTCTTCATTAACAACAGCAGACCTTCATCTTCCCCAGCATTGTTTGCTGAAAGACGTGATGCCATCGGCTTACTCAGGACCATTGCAGATCTCAGCTTCTGTGGTCCACAAAACCTCTATAACACTTACGTGAAGCCCTGAGACTCATTAAAGAAAAATCGAAATATACCTGTGCCTTCTCTAATACTGCTCCTGGAGATCATCTGTAAATCTTAGAATGATGTTCTTTTAAAGCGTAAGGAAGTAGAATGCCCTTGTGCCTGGATGTTTGTCTTAAACCATCAGTCCCTGGTGCAGGATTATGATGGGAATCTCTTATACGTAGATTTTTTTTTTTACAAAGCTATGCATTATCACAGATCTATAGTAAAACTACAAATTATTCTAGGCCCTAATGTTCTCCCAAATAATTATTATCCATTTGACTCTCTGTCCTCATTACCTGTCTTAAAAAACACAACTTTGTCCCTTTCACTGCAAGAAACAAAATATATAAATACTTGAATGCAGACGGGCTTTGATATTAGAACGTATCAATGGGCAGACTCACATACAAACCATACTACCTGGAAAGAAATTCCCTCTATAAACACATTGGAACAGATACCCATCTTCCGGTGCTGAGTTAGGTCCTGAGGAGAGTGTAGAAATCTATCCTGCCTTGGAGAAACTTTATATTGAGTTGAGGGCAAAAAGATGACAAAAATGAGAGTGAGTGGACCTATAAAAGACAAATGAAATAAATAATAGGCCAAACTTGTATTATGTAAGCTATAAATTCATTGACTCTCGTGAACCGTGTGTGAAGACAGAGTTAATACTGTTTGCTGGGGCTGGGATTTTGCACAAACGAGGTGCTCAAAAAGTATTTGTTGTTTATTTGAAATAACATCCTCAAGGTTCCCAACTCAAATCCTTTTGGGGATTAAGCGGGAAATCAGAGTCAAAGACCACATATGTCTTAATTTGGAGTGGCTTGGAAAAGACACTGGTTTTATGTACAAAGGCAGGTGAGGCCATTCTTCATCAGAAATGGATCAAAAATGCTTTTCTGTTGCAATTCAACTGAACAGAGCCGTCCATAAGAAGAGTGAGAGCAGTTATAAATGTTATCATAGATGTTAGCTTATAGGCATGCTCGCGGGACTTATCCTTATAATGATGAGTTAAATCTTTTAAAAATCTTACTTATGGAGTTTTATATAAATTTGTTGCAAAAACAGAGTCATATCTTTTGAGAGGGAGAGCGAGAGAGAGAATCAATTAATGCTACTCTGAAACATTAGAACTTTTCCACATCCACATAAAAAGAGACCTTTCTGAGTCCCGTATTAGACAACCTATGTCAAGAAACATTCTTGCTCACCAAAATTTTGAAATTTATTGTAAAGAAGCAGGAAGTCGTATTATCAATTGTACAGAAGGAATGGTAATGATGTTGATCTTCAGACTTATCTGTGAACTAAGAGTAAGTGGACTATATAGTACTTAAAGTCCTCTCTGTTTCTTAGGAAAGTATATGAAAAGTTAATAAACATGGCACGAAGATAGGAACAGGAGAAACCGCTTCTAATTTATAGGCTTAGGACAATTTTTAAACTCAGGGCAAGAAGTGGGTTTTGTTATTTTAAAGTAAAAGCAAAGATATTATGGTCATCATGACGACTTAGCGAAACACCAATACCAGTAATTTAAATCATTTATTTAATCCATAAGCTTTCACATCTAAGAATACGTTCGGAGGTGAAGATTTCTTAATGTGATTTTTGTTCTTATTTTTACGAAATTGCTGCTGTATACTCGACAGTCCTGTCTCTTATTCTCAGGACATTTCAGCACTTTTAAGTACTAGCAGTCAGCAGTTTCACAAAAATAGTATGTACGTCTCAGTTTCTGCCTCCTCATCTATAAAACGGCCCCCTCCCCCCCCAACACAGTAGAAGGATAAGACGACGTCATGCAGGTGCTTTCTTAACACAATGGCTGCTCCACAGTCACGGGTCTTCCAGCAACCCCCTTCGACGAGGACCTTGTTACAGTTGAGCTGGGATACCTACCTGCAGGCTAGCAACAGACAGCTCGAATGTAAGGGAAACGGGTTCAAAGAGACAGTGATGGCGACAGATTCTGTGTTCCAGTTGCCGTCGATACACAAGAGGCACCACCAAGTCCTGATTCCTCGTGCGTGCGGCACATTGTGTCTCCCCACACTGTCTCCGCAGACTCCGCAGAGTCGTATCCCCAGCACGCGCAGTCCCTGGACGGCACGATGGGCAGCTCCATCCCACTGTACAGGTCCTCGGAGGAGGAGAAGAGGGTGACGGTCATCAAAGCCCCGCACTACCCGGGGATCGGGCCCGTGGATGAATCCGGAATCCCCACAGCAATTAGAACGGTAGGAAATGCCCGGGTGCGCGTTGTTGCGGGGCTGGGCACAGAGGCTACAGAGGATGGATTGTCCAGGCTTGGTGCATTCCCCTGCTCTTACGTAATGAGGATGGCCCTCTGGGCCCTCTGATTGCTCGTGACTATTATGCTGTGTGTGGCTGAGAAAGAGAAAGAGATCTCGTCGGTCGAAGCTGATCACACAATCTGGTTTTGCATTTTGATAGAAAATCATGAAAATTGTGATCGTGGGAACTCCCCCCCCACCCCCGCAAAAGGAATGTTTTGTTTTGTTTTACCTTTTTCCAAGGAGTGTGAGGGCGATAGAGAGAAAAGAGAAGGAACAGAAAATGTGAATTCTTTGGCTGCATTGAATTCCCATGTGCATTGCAAATAAACCAGCAATTTGTTTCTTCAAAGGGCTGTGTGTTCCCATCGGGAGACTGGGAGCTGTGAATTGGGCATTGGGAGGTGAGATGATTGGAGTGAAGGGAGTTAATGTCATGGAAAGGAAAAACTGTGAAGAAAAATACACATCTGAGTGTCCCTCCTCAGCTGCGCCTGCTGCGAGCCCTCGGGGATGATAAGTGAAAGTGTTTGGATTTTTTTTTTTTTTTAAGTCTTTAAACTCTGCCAAAGCACTGCTCAGTGTGTCAGGGCAGCCCCTTCTGGCAAAGCTCAGCAGCGGCTGAGGCAGCTTGCTGACCAGTCTCCTTGCAGAGAAGGTTTGTGCTAGCCGCAGAAGGAAGACTCTGGGAGCCAGGATGAGAGCAGCCGCACGCCTGCAGGTGAATTGGGGGGCTGTGCGAGAAGTGGGCGCAGGCTAAATGGAAGCGCCTGCAACACCCACATACCTGGGGGCTCAGGTTGGGAGAGGTTGGTTGCCAAAAGCTGCTTCCCTGGAATGCAGATCCTGGGGGGCCAAAGACAATAGTGGATAGAGGAAAAGAATGGGAGAGGGATCAGGAAAAAAGCAGTGGTAAGATTGCCTCTCTCATATGGGAATTACACATTCTAAGAGTTAAAAATTGATGAGTCCAAGCATCTGTATTAGAACCGAAAGCCAGAAAGTCAGTCTGTAGGGCAGTTGCTGGGGTTATAGACTTGCTACGTTCTGGGAACGCTGAATGTGGCTAATTATAAAGTCCTACAAATCTATATTGGGACTGATGATTGTCATATTTAAGTAACAGAAAAAGTTTGGGGATGGTCACTAACAGTACTATGATGACTGCATGTTTCTGGTGATGGCGTTTTGTCATTTGTTTGCCTTTGAAGATTTCTGATTCAGAATGGTTAAATTTGGATTTTTTTTTTTTTAAATAATGGAGGGATCCAGTGTCAGACAGGAATGGTGTCACTGGTTTTGTTTCCTTGACCCTCCGGTCACAGTGGATACACATATTAGGAGATCCCTGGTTCTATGTTGTTACAGATTTCTGTCTGAAAGGATTTTTGTCTGAGATCTCTGGGTGTCTCTTTAACATGATAAATGATATATAAGAAACAACACAAAAAGCTGAACCAATTTTTTTATCCATAAGACATAATTTTAGTACATAGCAAGGACTTGCTTGTTAGTTTTCAAAAGAAAAAAAAAGCAGACATCATAGACGGTTAGTGAAAATCAAGGAGTATTAAAAGTCTATATTGTCTATCTACTTGCAAATCAAAAGCATGTTTAGATATGCATAAGCAAATACATGTACTAAACCTTTGATGTTAGTTTTTGTTCTATAAAGTAGAAAATAAAATATAAGCAGCCCAGAAGTTCCTTATAAGGAACCAGAATTTTTATATACAGCTGTGCTCTTATTTACGCTTTTAAAACTTTACAAAGAAGGTGCAGGTCTGTGAAGACTCTTATTCTTGGTCCCTATTTTTCAGCCTTGCTGAGCACATCCCCAAGTATAGCTGTGTTTATAAATGTTGAGTCAGGCCATCTCTGAGCCACAGCAGGCCAAGAATCTCCAAGGTTGTTTTTTCTTTCTCATCTGTGTAGAGAGTAATGATGATCAGACTCAAATTGCTACACATGGAATTCTGCTCAGTGTATCCACCAAAGGCAGTGCTGTCTCAGTGTATCACGTTATGGTCTCATTTTAGACAACCAGCCTATACCAAGGAAACAGAATTTTGTAAAGTAAACTAGAAACTCTAGAAAGCCAAAAGTCAACAAATGTACCTTTGAGTGATTTGAATGAAGGCTCCTTAGTCTGCCCTCTCTCATGTGACCTGGGACGTCTGTGTTAGCCTTTTACTACCATTCTTAACCACAACAAAAATCGCTAGGGTTCAGGTCCCAGGAGGCTGTCTAATTAAAGCCGGCTAGTTAAGTGAAATACAAGATTCTTTTCTTCTAGTTCAAATATAACACCGGGTGAGCCCTTTCAAAGCTCAAGAGGGGGCAAAAATAGAATAGAATCACTGTATACTTGTGTGTAGAAAATATGTGTCCTTTCCCTTTTTGGAAGTCTCTGCCTGATACATCAATGTAGAGCTCTGATACTTTGTAAGCTGTAGCAATGTAAAACGCAGATGTATTCTGCCAAGACTATAGAAAACAACCAAATAGTGAATTGCTAGTAGTTAACTGTCCATTTAAAATAACCCTGAAGGACATATATGAAAGTAAACATCCGTAAATTTGAGTAGACTTCTATTTACTTCATCTCAGCATTAGCCATAACATGTCTATGACGTCATTTATTAAAGAAACTTCAAATGCTTGGAGTGCCTCTTTTAGAAAGGGACAGAGAGTTTTAGTATTGCCTTATACCAGTTTCCTATTCTTTGCCAGCCAGTTGGGCACTTCCTGGCATCTCTGTGCTCACCATATAAAGCTAGCAGATGGCAGAACTGAGTTCCTGCCTGATCCATGCCCTCCAGCAAGTGAAGGAAAAAAAATCCTGTCTGTCAAGATGCATTGCCATATAGAGTGATACAACTTACTTATTTGATTTCTTTGTTGCTATTGCTTGTGTCCAGGTATGGCTGGGAAACGTGTGTCCACGAAGTGATGTCTTATTATCTGGTGCCGAATACCTAAAGGAAATAGAGCTTAATGGAAGAGAAATTGATCTTTTAGGAACATGTCCCTTAAAGATACATGTTCAGCTACTGTATTTAAGCCAGCAAATAATAACTAGACGCCTGCTTCATCACTGCCCCCCTCCCACCAACTCCCACCACTCCAATATAAGGTCAATCAATAGTGTCCTCACTTTTCCCATTGTATAAAAGAGCCTTGGGACACCTGGATGGCTCAGTTGGTTAAGCTGCTGCCTTCAGCTCAGGTCATGATCCGGCATCCTGGGATCGAGTTCTGCAGCAGGCTCCTTGTCCAGCAGGGAGCCTGCTTCTCTCTCTGCCTCTGCCTGCCACTCTGTCTGCTTGTGCTCTCTATCTGACAAATAAATAAATAAAATCTTTTAAAAAACAATAAAAAAATAAAAGAGCCTTGAATAAAGGGGTGACTCCTAACAAAGTCAAGTAGCTCTTACTGTTAATCTATATTTATGGCGATTATCAGAACTATATATTCTTAGAGACGAAAATGAATGTAAATATGGCACCCCCTCAATTTCCAGATGAAAAATGCAATTAGCACATTTCTGAGAAAAAAAATAGGATATAAAATCCATACCAAAGCTCAGTCTAAAAAAGTACAAGAATATTTCTGTGCCAGTCCTAACAACAGAGTATTTTATATCAAGAGAATTATCTTGAAAAGGCCGGTTTCTTTATTACCATACACAGAATGATCGAGTTTCTTGCTGGAGTATGTCTGGATATATTGAGATAAAGATCTTGCTAAGCAAAATCTTTAATTATGATTATAAAGGTAGAGGTCTACTTTCACAGGTGTATAATCAGGTAGGATTCCATCCAATAACCTGGATTCATTCTTTCTTTTATCCTTAAATACATAATGTTCCTTGAGCACAGCCTATATTCTAGGCATTGTTCTAGGTCTTATTGTATATGTGGCTTCATTCTGTTTCCATACAACCCTCTGATGTAGATATAATCTCATCTTAGAAGGGACAAAAATGAGGCCTAAAAGCTTACCTGACTGGCCCAAATTCATATTGCTAAGAAGTATAAAACAATAATTAAAGGAAGCGAGATATGAATCTAGGTTGAGCTGACACTAACTTCTTCTTTCCACTATGGCCCACTGTTTCTATCATGCCCAAATCCTGGGCTGTGTAAGGAGTTTCTACTCTCAAGGAATTTACAATTTAGCTAGGCAAATGTTGCATACATTCTATTATCATGTTTAAAAAAATTCAAGATAATATCTACATCTTTTTTAGGTTTGCTACAGAACTATATCATATTTTTATTTCTCTAAGCTTAAGCTGATCAGAATACAGTTTGAAAGTCAAAAATATTCCCTAGTTAACTCTAAAAATAATGTTTTGAACAGAACACTCACTAAAATGTTTTTAAGAATAATGATAATTATCACCAAAAGGAGTTAAGCAAACCATTGCAACACCACAACTTTTATTCCATGAATTTTATGTAGATATGTTTGTGCAAATACCACCTATCTAGTGCTGGGCACAGTATGATTTACAAAAAAAATTAAAACCATAGCATATAACGTGTCAATTCAGCCTCAGTGCAAACAAGGGGTAACATATTTACAAACTGCAGCCATAACTGGTTACATTACTGGTACTACTGTCATGAAATAGATCTTTTATTTTTAAGCCCAGAACAGAGATCTACTATGAGAAAATATACAGTATAGAAAGAAGAACCTTGAGGAACACTGTTGATTTGGAATCCGTTTTTTAACTCCTGGACATTTTCTTTTACAGACAGTTGACAGACCAAAGGACTGGTACAAGACAATGTTTAAGCAAATTCACATGGTGCACAAACCAGGTATGTGTGCTACTGTTTTCTGATCCGATCCTCCTGGCTGAGGGAGGTATCTGTCTACTCCTGTAGAGTTCTCATTCACATAGACTCTTAACAGCCTAGCAACACCACAGCCCTCCCTCTTTTCTCTCCTCCTTCTGTCACCCTCCAATCACAGACACCTGTGCTCCTGCCTCACTCCTGAGCTGCCAAGAAGCCTCTCATTAGGTGACCCTTGGGGGCTGCCTGGCGCTCTGCTCCCTCCCTCCTTCCCTGTCCGCAATCTGGAGTGAGTTGTGTGGCCCGGTGGGTGCATAAACAGACTCATTGTTCCTCTGTCCACACATGTCATCTTCTTTTGGAGAGAGTGAGCAGAGGTGCGCGATTCAGAAGAGAAAGCTGCCTAAGGAAGGGAGGAAAAGGCATTGACCTTGTATGCTGGGGAGAGGGCTGCCCGAGCAAATAGGTCACAGATAAGCGAGGGCAAACTTCAGAAGCCAGCAACAAAACAATATTAGAAAAATTTTTATAATGGCATTGTGAACTAGGCAAAAGACATTGATTTTCTTTCTTTCTTTTTTTTTTTTTTTAAGATTTATTTACTTATTTATTTGACCGAGAGAGAATGAGAGAGAGAGAGAGCGCTCCCAAGCAGGGGGGAGGAGCAGAGGGAGAGGGAGAAGCGGACTCCTCATTGAGCAGGGAGCCCGATGTGGGACTCGATCCCAGGACCCTGAGATCATGACCTGAGCCAAAGGCAGAGTCTTTTTTTTTTTTTTTTTTTTTAAGATTTATTTATTTGTTTGACAGAGAGAGATCACAGGTAGACAGAGAGGCAGGCAGAGGGGGGGCGGGTAGCAGGCTCCCTGCTGAGCAAAAAGCCTGATGCGGGGCTGGATCCCAGGACCCTGAGACCATGACCTGAGTTGAAGGCAGAGGCTTAATCCACTGAGCCACCCAGGCACCCCCAAAGGCAGAGTCTGAACTGGTGGAGCCACCCAGGCACCAGGCACCCAATACACTGGTTTTCGACCAAATTTTTGTTTGCTTGTTTCTCTGAAGTTCTACTGTCTTGTTATGATATGGTGACCGAATCTGTATTACCATAATATTTATGTTTCATTTTCTAGATGATGACACAGACATGTATAATACTCCTTATACATATAATGCAGGTAGGCCGGGTTTCCTTGCTGACGATGAATGCTGTATGCTCAGCAATGCTTCGAAGCACTCACACTCACTTTTTCACCCGTTTGAGCCGCATGTTTTCAGTTTGTACAATCAAGAGGTTGCTGGTTTTCTTTTCTCAAAGCATGCATGAACCGAGGATCGATCTTTTCTCATGGAAATGAGAACTAATACTGTTTTCTCTCATTCATTCTCACTGTCATTTTATTCTGGGCCTCAGGAATGTTTAACCCAAGTCTGAAGGACAGCGTGAAAGAACACGCTGTCACTAGGGTACGAAGTCAGATAAAGATCTCCTTTTATCAGCAGCGAGCGAGGTCACAATTGCGTAAGATCGTTGAAATACACTTCACAAAAAACAAGTCCGGCAAAGTGTTCTGTAACTTTGTCCCTGCCTGTGCTCCCAAAATGCAAACATTCATTGAAGGGTTTTTTTTAAAATCCCACTTTGCGGGGCCACTTTCCTGATGCGGAGTTGCCAGCAGTCCTGATGACACCACCGCAATTCTGGGTGTTTCTCCTTGCGTTTGAGTGCATTGGTGTCATGTGACTCGGTTGCAGGCTGGAGTGAAGGACCCCTCCAGAATATTTCCCTTTCTCCTAAATGTCACATTAGGGGACCCCATGGAGGGCCTCCTGTTGCCATTCGCCCCCAGGCTGGAGACTGTTGCAGAGCCTGGTTTTCCTTTCCTGACATGGGGCTGCTCCCCTCTCCCTCAACGGCAGCAACCTCGCCTCCCTTAGGGGTCCCCTTGTCAGCTGCAGAACTGCACAAGACTCTCCCCCTCCTTGATGCCTGAAGGCCAGCGCTCAAGCCCCTTGTTAGGGATTCTGCTGACTGGTCTCCAAGGACAAACAGAGAAGAAATACTGGGCAGAACAAGGTTAGCAAACCGCAAGACCTCTGAGGTTTGGGTCCTCCCTCTTCCAGGTGACAGCAGGAAGCCCAGGAAAATGTTTCCCTCAACTTTTATTCCTAGCCACGGTTTCTCCGGACTCACCTCCTGGGTTTAGTTTGTTAAAAACAAAATGAAACAAAACAAAAATTTGGCCAAGTAAATTTTAGATATTACTGGCTTTATTCAACGATTCATGAATCTGGCACCATCCAATCTAGCAGATAGAAAGGAGAACTGGGGAGCTGTACAAAAAGAAAGACTTTTATAGGGCAGAAGGGAGCCAAACAAGGAAGCTATACTAGGCAAAAAAAAAAAAAAAAGTGGGAAGGTGATTGCGAGATTAGTTTTCCTTTTGGGCATGGCAGGTGAGCTCACTGGTGCTGGTCAGGCAATTCCTGATCATCTGGTTTAAGATTCCATTTCTAGCAAAGCCAAAACTGTAATTAAGTGTCCATTTGGTGACGTGGGGCTCAGCATACAGAAGTGACTCCTTTTTGTTCTTCACAAGCTGTAAAGTTGAAGTCTGATTGTAGAATCCGGGCAAAACAATAAGTTCAGACATTGTCTTTTCTTTCTTCCTTCCCTCCTTTTTCTCTCTCTTTTTAAAGATTTATTTATTTGAGAGAGAGAGAGAGAGAGAGAGAACACCAGCTGGAGGAGGGGCAAAGGGAGAGGGAGAGAGAGAAGCCTCAGGCAGACTCCCTGCTGAGCAGGGAGCCCAATGGAGGGTTCCATCCCATGACCCTGAGATCATGACCTGAGGCAAAATCAAGAGCCGCACACTCAACCAACTGAGCCACCCAGGCATTCCCAGACATTGTCTTTTCATTTGTCACTGCAATGTGTATGGCCCCTCAGGAGAAGTCGATGAATGAAAATTGACCTGACTCAAAAGATTCAGGTGGCAGGAAATTCAGAATTTTTATACTGATTTTTACTACTGAAATTCTGTATCCTTTAGTAATTAGTAAATTGAACAGTAGTTACATATAACCTTGCAGAGTGCTTAGAGATGGTTTTGCTGTTTCTTTGGTAGACAAAACAATTGGAACGAGCCTCTCCGCTCTCTACAAACCCTGTGTCCCACTGTGCTCTGTCTAGTTCTTCCTGCCTATTTTTGTGGGTTTTTTTTTTCCCTAAGCCATCTCTGCTGCCCACTTCCCCCACCCACCTACCCAAACCAGTCCTTCTGGGCTCACTCCAGTGCCATGGTTCCATAATATCTTCTCTGACCAATCCACCATCTTTTAAATATTTAATTTTTAATATGTATTTTCCTCATTTGCCCTTTATCATGTTCCCAGTTATTTTCTTTTTCTCTTTCTTTCTTTCTTTCTTTCTTTCTTTCTTTCTTTCACAGAGGGGGAGAGAGAGAGAGCACAAGCAGGGGGAGCGACAGGCACAGGGAGAAGTAGGCTCCCTGCTGAGCAAGGAGCCTGATGCGGGACTAGATCCCAGGACCTTAGGATCATGACCTGAGCTGAAGGCAGATGCTTAAGCGGCTGAGCCACCCAGGCATCCCCCAATTATTTTCAATCACAGTTCTATCCGTGCCCCATTTCCCCAGATCCACTACAAGCTTAAAGGAGATTTTTGTGTCCTTAAGCCTTGCTTAAGGCTTATACACAGCACACGTACAACTTGCTCAATATTTTGTTCAATTGCAATTAACATGTCAAAGATTACATGTAAATCAGAACTTTTAAAGTAATAGAAGATATTTGGAAACGGTTCTGGGAACTATTTTTTAAACTTAACTATGTTATTAGTTTATATTAGCCAGGAGAAAATTTGCCTTTGAGCACCTGTACGTTGATTCCTAATACCAGTCTGAATTATTACTAATTTCAAAATGATTGTTGAAGATTCACCGTAATCCGTCATTGTGTACAGAATATATCAATAACAAATTAATATATTAATCATGCTTAATAAATTAATAATATTCATAAATCGATTAAATAGTACTCCCCAATGCATGCATCATGGATATGCTTACTGATGACAATGTTGGTAAGATCACTGGATATTTTGTGGGGTGTAAGTAATTTAATGTGCTTTTAAAATGTTATCTGCTTTTGTTTTGTCGTGTTGTGTTTCACGATAGGCCTGTACAACTCACCCTACAGCGCTCAGTCACATCCTGCGGCAAAGACCCAGACCTACAGACCCCTCTCCAAAAGTCACTCGGACAATGGCACTGATGGCTTTAAGGATGCCTCCTCCCCTGTCCCTCCCCCACATGTTCCTCCTCCGGTCCCACCACTTCGGCCAAGAGATCGATCTTCAACAGAAAAGTAAGACATTTCCTCCCGAAGTGGCTTATCTTCAGTTTAGTATAAAAGTAAGACCATCTGGCAGGAGACTCTAGCAGGAGACTTGGTGCTTACGTTACGGAGATGCTAGGCGCAGAACCCCCCAGAGCGCATGCGCCCTGTTGACCTCCTCTGGTGCGACTGTGGCAAACAGAATCTTGAATCATAATCTCATAATCGCCTAGGTTTGAAGTAATATGAGCATAGTCTTTTTGATCAATAAATGTATATAAGAAGACGAATAAGTAGAATTAATTGACACCTACTTCCTTTGACATTGCATGTCAGAGACTCTGGGGTTAATTTTCATTTTCCTCAGATTTGAAATGTTAGGTCTATTAATGATTTACAGTTTCCCCTCTGGTACACAACAGTCTCTTTTTGAAAGCAGGCAAGGTTAGTCATAAATAATAAATAAGGCAGTAGTTAGTGCCTATTTGTGACTCATTTCTACCAGATTTTCAAGATGATACTAATTTTCATTGCTCCACTAAATTTTTTATAGGAACTATTCACACAAAAATAAAAATTTATAAGCACACTTTCACCGTGTAATTTTTATTAAGATTATGACTAATCTACTTATAGGTAACCTTTGTTGAGAGCTCACTGTGAGCCGAGTACTATGCTAAGTACTTTCCCTCTATTATGTCATTTAATTCTGAGAATGAACCAATATGTTTTATTTTAAACCCATTTTAGAGAGAAGAAACTGTGGTTTAGAGAATTAAAGTAAATTTCTCAGCTCCTACAGCTCATATATCCAAGCCAGGATTCAAACTCAGCTCTGACTAAAGCCCATGCAATCTTGGCAATTAAGGACAATCTAAGAATCATTCAACATTAATACTAATTATTAAGCATCCACCTATCCTATTCCTCCCATAAATATTATATTTATCCCACTGTACCATTAAGAGTAACTGATGAGTATAGAGGATACAAGATACCATGAAACAGACACACATCACGTGTGAAGAGGTCCTCACTTTAATCTCCTCATGATAAACTGTATAAGTATGACGCCCTAAATTTGAAAAATAATTGTCTAGACACAAAATGGCATCTCTGCTATTAAAAAAGAACCAAAATTAACTCAAATTTAAATGTATTATTTGTCCTATGCTTAGTAGAAATAAATTTCTCAAGAGATATGATAATAGCTTAAGATTTTCTAGCTGGCTTCCATATACATTGTTTCAATAGAAACCTTCTTTCGCCCCAGCTACCTAGAAAAGCTTTACTTTCAAAGTTCTTCGTTGACCTCCATTTGAAGGATATTAATTCAGGAAAAAGTGTTGCTTCCAAGGTCTCTTATGCAAGACAGTGGCTGTCTGACTCCGGTTTTTCAAGGGTAACACCAAAGGAGGCTCTCCACGGCCACACAGCTTGCTTCTATGGATGGCAGCCCAAGTAACACTTTTGTACTTTTCCCAAACTGTGATGCCACTTGCAGGATAAATAAGATCAGGCATGGCGTGTGCATTACTCCTTGTCACTTTGGATCAAGGATGCCAGGTCACAGAGCGGTGAGCTAAACTCACATAACTCAATGGACCATAACCTTCATTTGCTCTGACATGAATATACACAGCTGCGATTTGTACACCATCCCCAGGGTTTACAAGGAGAGCACTGGCTGCGTGCATTTCTGTATACCCCTGTGTGAGTTACTGAGCCAGCAGTATCGTGCATGGAAAAAAAAAAATAGAGGAAAATATAATATGAAATAAAAGAATGGCTTTCCTTAAATCATTTATATAAAACAACATATACACGTAGTGTTTTTTGCAGATTAACTTTCTATACTGAGATACTTTTTAAAAACCTATGCTAAGATTCACTTTGTAAACAGATAGCAAGTGGTTTTATAGTACCGCTTGAAGCATACAGAATTGTTTTTATGTAATTGTTGTTTATTTCTAGGCATGACTGGGATCCTCCAGATAGAAAAGTGGACACAAGAAAATTTCGTTCTGAGCCAAGGAGTATTTTTGAATATGAACCCGGGAAGTCATCCATTCTCCAGCATGAAAGACCAGTAAGCACTTGCACTAAACAGAATGCCGGCTCTCTAGGTTTCTGGGTTCCCAAGCAGACTTGAAGTTTGTATCATTTAGCAATGTTTGTCACAAAAGTAATTTATGGATTTGGCAGTGTTTAGAAATCAAGTTGATTTTGTATCATGATTCGTGCCTCTTGTCTGAGAATTAGAGATACGCTCTCTAATATATTATCCCTACCAACCAAACAGGGGACCCATTTTCATGGAACTATTGCTGTGCCTCATCACAGCCCTGAGCTTAAATTTTTTTAAATTCATAAATGCAATACTTAATTGCTAGTCTACATTGCTAATGAGAAAAATCATTCATTAGTCTCTCTGATACAAATGGGCCCACAAAGTCCCATCCCTTCCACATCGGTTGCTTAATGTCTCTTTGAATTAAGGGGAAATTTCCCAAATGGCTTTCTTTTAAAAAAAAAACAAAAACAGTTGTTTTAATTGATTCTTATTAAATCTCTCTCAGGTTACCAAGCCTCAAGCTTCCTGACTGTCCATCTAATGGATCAAGATTCTATTAACTTGGCAGAGGTTTTTCCTAGTTATTTCACCCATGCAAACAAAAAGATACATTAACTTGAAAATAACCACTTAGTTCTTCCAAGTGCGATATAACAAATAGGGTTATGCTTTGGCCCTCTTGGTTTTTATTTTCCCGGTCCCCCTTTCTGAGTCCTCTGCTTTCCCTCCTCGACCCTCAGGATCTCTTTGAAACTATAATTCCTTCGCATCTCTATCAAAACCTGCATCTAGAGGTCCATTTATAATTTACACTCCTCATTGCCTTAAAAGAATTTTGGGTGCTGTCAGTGAAGAGGAAAAGGTTTTCTTTGTTCACTCCTTTAAGAGTATCCAAGAAAGCATATTATTACATATAATGCAAGCCCAGCCCTGAAATTTGATTGGAAAGCTTTGCCTTACCACACCCAACATGAGCATCCTTGATTTCGTTTTTGAAACCCTGTATTTATGGTTATGTTCTTGAGAAACATGTTCAAAAACCTTATAATCACATAACTCAAACATAACGTTTATGTAAGCCTTCTTTGCCTTTCTTCAAATAACTCTTATCTTTTAGAGTAACAGAACTTCACCAGAAAAACTGAAAGAAAAAAAAAAAGGAACATCATTTGTTTGAAGGCTTAGTGCAAACTTTGAACTCATTTACCAGCTTGTACGATTGCATATCATCCTTTGAAATTTCTAGTCTGAGAATTGAGTGAACCATGACGTTACCATTGCAAAAAACTGAAAGTAGCAAATAATTCTGCAAAATAATGAGCCTCAGATTTAAATGTAAATAATTAAATGATCATTGATGATCTTCCTGACAATTTATAAGAACGCTGTGATTGTACTGAACGCTTTAGTAGCTGTGGTCTCAGAAAACAGGATGGTGAGGATATCCTCACCAGGATATTTCCATTATTGAGTCATTCAGTAACATTTACTGAGCACCAACTATGTGCCTGATGTCATATTCAGTGCCGGGACACAGGAGTGACCAAGACGCAGTCTCCACCCTGAGGAGCTCTGAATCTTTCATTTGATGAGTATGCAAAGCTAGACTTGTATTCTAAGACAGAGAGAAAGCTCTGGGAGCATGGCATTGCTGGAGATTTGGGTATGGACAGGGCTCTGTAGCCACAGGCAAAAAGAAGTGGAAGGAACCAAGAAACCTGGAAAGAAATGAGAATGGGTGTCATATGGAGAAACAGAAAGAACCAACATTTTTATTCCTCCTAAGCAATTTTGCAGGGGGCCAGCGCTATGCGAAAGGATTTGGGCTAGTCATCTATGTCATTTTGGTCTGGCCTTTTTTTATTCTAGGAACAGGCTATCCTCTTTTTTTCTTGTCACCCTGAATTCATGCTCATTGCCTCCCTAAAGCAGAAAAAAAAAAAAAAAAAAGACAAAAGTCTAACTGCACGGTGGTATTGCAGAGACTGCTGTGGTTTCCTTAGGATCCGGGAGCATCTTTAACCCACAAGGTGTAGGAGATGAAGAGCAGATTTGCTAAATGATCGTGGTATGGCAGCAAATGAACAAAACTTGAGGATTTCAAAGGAATGCGCTCTCTTGTCTTTTTACTCCCAGATGGTTTGTGAGCATTCCTTTGCTCTTTTCCTATTTAGTTTTCGTAAATTATACAAAACTCTCGGTAATTTTCTGTTGCTCTTTTGAATTCCTAGATGACCCTATCATATGCCCAGTCTCTCCAAGTGTCACCCTGGCCTCCCCCCGCTCTCCCAAAGTTCTCAAAGTCCTCCCCCTGCCCCTCCTCTCTGCTGGCCACAGTGTGTCCATTGCCTGCATGACAGGGACAGCTACCCAGTTATCCTCCCTAATGCTCCTTAAGTACCCTGAGAGCAAAACCCAAATTTCTTCATGTAATTTCCAAAAAACCTTGTGGTCTGGCCCCCACTGACCTCTCTGGCCTCATGTCTCTTCCTGCTTTTCCTGCCAACTCGCCATAAGCCAGCTAGACAGACAGCCTTCAATGCCTGCCTTCTGGACTTTTGTACAGGCCCATTCCTCTGCCAGGAAAGCTCTCTCTCCGTCCCATCTCACCTGTGGCCTTGTCTCTTTTTTCTCCAGGGCACCATGGCTGACACCTGGGGACGGGGATGGGACGTAAAATTCCCTTACTGTGTGCGTATAGCAATGGGCATTTCCTCCTTACACCCTGAATTCTAACGGCCCGTTGACTTGTCTGTGTCCCTCATTAGATGTTAAGCACCTTGAAGGCAGGGACCGTGCCTAGTGCGTGCATTGTATCCCCAGCACCCAGCACAATGCCTGCCACATGGCAGGTGTTCAGTGAATAGCCATCGAACTAATAACTGGATGAATGACTATAGGTTTTACCCTTGCGGTTAGTGGGTAAAACTGGTGAGGGTTGATCCCTGTTCTGTGGCTCATCTGTAAAGTCTCTACTTTCCTAGCAACAAACGGCAATGTGGGTGTCCATCAAGGTACACAAAGGGGATTTGACACACGGCTCTTAGTAACTGTGGTTCACTAATCCCCTGATTCCCTGAAATACACAGTGGGCAGAGGGGGCCATACCGCTTGAATAAAAGTCCTCCCCCAGACTCTGGCCAAAGGGATCCCCTTCTTCCTTAGGAATCAGTGTTTCTGGTTTTAGCAGGAAAGTGAAGGTCAGTGCAGTTTCTTGAGGGCTGTAGATGTTCATTTGACTGTAAATTTGAAAACATTGATTAAAGGGGCCTAATCTTTGATCTACAAAAGTACTTCGCAATTATCAGGAATTTATCTTTAATGGACTGAACCACATGTAGTCTGTGAAGCAATCACACAAACTCTCTGCTGAGATTATATTAATAAAAACTTTACATCCCATCTGGATTGGATATATTTATAGGTGAGCCAAATTAAATTACATTAAATTAAATCAAATCAAATTAAGCACATATTCAGGATCTCTCTGCATGTGGTAAAATGAAAACAATAGGAAGACATTACCTTTCTTTACAGTAACTAAGCCAGCACATAATGATAAAAGCAGAAAGAAATAATCACCAAAAACAGAGCTGAAATGCAATTTAAACCCGCAGTGAACTTACACTTCCTTATCAATGATGATCGTCAAAGCTTAAAGTATAAAAATTCGGGGAGTTTCATCTGGTGGTTTCAATCCAGCTGACAATACATGTATCATTTACTGCGGAACCAGAATAAATATAAAACATGGTGGTGAATACCATTAAAGCTTTAAAATCTAATGAGCATAAATTTTTAAGAACTAAGTTGTGTGAACACTTCTTTTTGTTTGGAACCACATATAGAAATTATATGCCTACAATGAGAATATGGAGAAGAGTAGAATTTCTGTAACCTCAAAAGCAACTAAATGCTTTGAAATTGTAGAAAACATAAAAACTTTAAGAACGGCTCACCCGTGGTTGTCTTTAAAAAAGAATCCGTCCGATTTATAGTTTTAGATTTTCTTAAACGCTTCCTCTTGCACTGAAACACATTTGTTTTCAGCACAGATTTGCTAGGTCTTTCAAAGTAAGAAGAGAACAAAAAAGGTTAGAAAAATGTGCAACAGTGTATCTGCTTTTTTTGTTGTTTTTATGAGCAATTAGAGTAACACATGATCAGGCTTCCTAAGTTTCCCAGTGTTCACATTGGTGTCAAACAACTCAAAGGAACTTTCAAGTTTTGCATGGAAAGTGTTGATTTAGTGAGATTCTGAGTGTGTATATATGACTGTATGTATGTATGTATGTATGTATGTATGAGATTCTGAGTGTGTATATAGGACCATGTGTCTATCTACCACTGACTTTTGTGAGGTTTCTGTGTACCTTAGCAGGGATCTAGATTGCTACGTAATACATATCATTGTTGCATAACTAAGGCGATTCAATAGGTCAACCACAGTGAAAAGAAAATTCTAGTTCTGCCGCTTGCATCTCTCTACCATAAAAGCTATACTCAAAGGTATGCCTCTCATTAAGTTCCAACATCATAGATAATTATCAATGATCATTGTTTGGGGCATTCTCTCTAATGGATGGATTCTAGATGACACTAGAATCTGAGACTATACATTAAATTTTTAACCTAAAAAAATCATAATTAAAAACTGTCATTCAAAGTTATGGTGCAAGATGGTAGATAGTCTTCCTTTACCACATTCGATCATAGAAATATACTTCTATACATCAGGATTTCATATATCTGTTTGTTATGTATTTTCTTAAGGTGAAAGTCAAAATGAAGTTGTAACCACTGGTAAATATACTTATTTTTTTAGTAAATTTGCTGCCCTCTGCTGTTCAAAATATTTTTTAAACAAATTTGTTTACTCTAAGAGAAATTTCTATCTCCCTTTAGCAAAACAAAATGCTAAATGTGAAACCAGAATCATAAAATCAAGAATTGGTAATATTATTAAGTTTATAATATTAAAAGCAAGGAGATTTGAAAGAACCAAAGATTCGTTTTCTTGTGGAAGAAGTACTAGGCCTCTATAGACAGAACAAAAACTACTAGAAAATTCTTTCCAGTGTCAGGGTGCTTGGATGGCTCAGTCCATGAAGTGGCTGCCTTTGGCTCGGTCATGTTCTCAGGGTCCTGGGATTGAGTCTAACTTCAGCAGCAAGTCTGCTCCCTCTGCCCCTCCCCCCAGCTTGTGCGTGCTTTCTGTAATAAGTAAACAAAAATCTTTGAAAAAAATTTAAAGAGAAAAAAAAAAATTCCCTCTAATGTCAATTACTCTAAAAATTCAGCTCCAGTAGAACTACTCCATAAAATATTCATATCCTAAAGCCATTATCTAAATGATAACAGGAGGAAAACTGCATTTTAGCTAAGATCAAAATCTCAATTAGTACTTTGCACTATTGAATCAATTGTAAATTGAATCAAGTTTTCTACAACATTTACCATAGTAATTACAGGATATTCTCCACAACATTATGATAGTAAAGCAAAATAAGATTTTATTTTTTATTAACATATAATATATTATTAGCCCCAGGGGTACAGGTCTGTGAATCGCCAGGTTTACACACTTCACAGCCCTCACCATAGCACATACCCTCCCCAGTGTCCATAACCCCACCCCCTCTCCCTCCCCCCCTCCCCCCAGTAACCCTCAGTTTGAGATTTGTGAGATTAAGAGTCTCTTACGGTTTGTCTCCCTCCCGATCCCATCCTGTTTCAGTTTTCCTTCCCTACCCCTCCAAACCCCCCCGCATTGCCTCTCAAATTCTTCGTACCAGGGAGATCATATGATAATCGTCTTTCTCTGACTGACTTATTTCGCTCAGCATAATACCCTCTAGTTCCATCTACGTTGTTGTAAAAGGCAAGATTTCATTTCTTTTGATGGCTGCATAGTATTCCACTGTATATGCAAAATAAGATTTTAAAAGAAGGAAAAGAACAATCTCAATGCCAGAATGCCATTGTGAGTTTGTTTTTGTTGTTGTTGTTTTGTTTTTTTGTTTTGTTTTGTTTTTGGTAAATGTGTGTGTTTTCTTCCTGTGTTCATCCAAACACAGGCTTCACGATATCATTACAAATACTGTAGAAACACACGATCGAATTCGGCTTTTATCACTCACCATTCCACATAAACATCCCCCAGAATTATTCAAGGTCTTTATCATTATGATCATCACATATTTTGGATAACTTAGGCCCTTTCACTATTTTGTTATGATGCCTCAAATTTTCCTATCGCTCTGTAGCTACCATTATAATCTCCTATTATAAAATATTGAAATAAAAATCTCATCTCTAAAAATACTCTGGATATAATTGATTCTTGCACACAGACTCTATCCTAGTAACAAAATGATTGGGAATTCAAAAAGGCAATAAAACACTTAGACAAGTTAATGTCAAAATAATGGGTTTTGTTTGAATAGGGACTGCTATCTCAAAACCCTCCATAGTATGAAGATTATGTCCTCTTCTGGCCAAGGTGAATGGCTTTTAGGGAACTGAGATATATATATATTTTTTTCTGACTTAAAATATCACTGTCCAACTGCACCATGTTTTATTAGTATCATGCAATAATGGTTAAAGAAGTAATAACCCATATGTGGTACTTTAAGCATCTTCATTTAATATTAAGTCAATAGTATGAATCAGTCTGATCAGGCGTATATTATGTAAAAGCATTCAGGATATTATCGGATAAAGTAAATGCTCCATGTCTGGATTTTCCATTACTAAAGCAATTGTATGTCCTTTCTCAAGCTGTTTATATTAACACTCCTAGTTTTCACAATACTCAGAAACCACCAAAGGGGAGCAAGTCAGCTATGAAAATTGGCTTTTTCCCTGAATTACAGTGTCAACCAAACCAGAGTGCGACTCTCCCCACACTGAGCCAGCTACAGTAGTGTGAAAACCCAATCACCTCTAGATCCGTTTCTCCAGCTGAAGGTAGACAGGAGAAGGAGATTCTTGGGGTGGTAGCTCATAAAATGTCATCGTGCCTCACTTTCTAGGAGGCTCCTTGTCTTCACATCTTTTCAGGGGTCCAGACCATTCTCTAAGTTATCTGGGTCTCCCCAGGGACACCTTACTTTTCTGAAACATTTCCTCCTCCTAACTGGTGTCCTCTTCGTTCCATCAAGAACCTCCATCTAACGAATCAGTGTTTCCTTCACCCCTCTTTCTTACAGCCCCCTCTCCCAACAACTCTGACACCTGTTCCAAAAGAACCTGGTCGGAAGCCTCTTTCTGTTTCAAGAGACGGAGAAGTAACGGGTAGCCCCTCCCCTCTGCCCAGGACTGGCCTCCCCATACCAAGCCCGTGCACTCCGACTCTTTCCCCCACCTTGGTGAGCTCCTTCCTTTATTACCTTTTCTAATGCCCTTCGGGAAAATCAGGGGTAGCCCTTGCTTTCCAGAGGCTAAGGGGACAACCTGACTCTAGCTACTTACTACCACTCCACCTTGCTGCCCCTTACTTTCTCAACTAGACCCCAGGTTCTTCATGCCAGTCGACCCCTAACAGCCTCCCAGCACCTTTCACTCCTCCCCCCACATCTCTTCCCACCTTCTCCCTCCCCCTCTCTGCCGCGCTCTCCATATACCTGCACCCAAACCAGCTGTCTGCGGAACGCAACCTTACATGCTAAGATCAGTGAGGGCAGGGGCGGTGGAGTGACTCACCCAGAGGAGCTACTTGGTGACTAAGTTGAGTCTATTTTAACTTTAATCGGCTAACGTTAGCCTATTTCTGGGATGCTATCCGTGTTCCTTCTGGCCATCACAGCGTTTTTCATATTTCTGCAAATTCAAAAAAGAGATGGACAGAGGAAGTGACTAGGGGCCTAGGTGATGCCATCGAAGCTCATCTTCATATCCTAATTTTACTCATTTTACTTTACATCCTTTGTTCTCTCCTGCTAAGATTTGTTGGATGAGAGTTGGTGCATGTTTGCGTGCAAATGCGCGTGCGTGTTTTTCATACCACACGGCGTTTCCCTCACTCAGCTCAGTGTGCCTTTTCCTTCCCTTTTTCCTTCACATCTGCTCCAGACTGATCGCATAAATCCAGATGACATAGATTTAGAAAATGAGCCCTGGTATAAATTCTTTTCAGAACTGGAGTTTGGACGCCCGGTAAGTGAGGCTAGACTATTAATATAAGAAAATTAGGGGAATGTTGTTTGATTTATGAAAAATACCATTACCAGAAGAGATAGGTGTCATTTACAAAACGAAAGTCAAATGTATTCTGTTTAGACAAATTGGGTACAGCTGAGCCCTCATCCGCTTCTGTACCAAATGGTTAACCCTGCTCAGACCCTTCCTATGTGCTTTGTCTCTACCATGCCTCATGCATTAGGAAGATCATATCGAAGCAAATTCATAACGCTGAGATAGTTTCTGTTCTAGAATATTCAGGCAATTTTTAGAGGTTTATCAAAGATTTATATTTGTTTAGAGTCCATTTTGGTCTAGTTCAATCAGAAGAAATATAGTGACATTTATGAAAATGATTACTATTATTATAGCTCCCATTTGCTGAAGAACTACCTAGCACTGGCGAGTGCTGGGTTCTGAGCTCATCATCTCAGCTCATCATCTCAGTTCTCTGGAGGCTCTTCCAATAAGAAGAAACCAGAGACCAGAGAGGTCAAGTACTTTGCACAGGCTAGCAAGTGGTAGAGTCAGAAGTTAAAACCCCAGGCTTAGTGAACACACCAAAAATCTCTGGCCAATTTCCTTCCGTACTATACTGTCAGTATAGAAATACCTCTATAAAATATCTCATTTACTCTTAGGGATATAAGAAAAAAGAAAAATAAAGAAATCCTGTGGACCTTGATTTCTAGTTTCATGTTAGTGAAACATCTTGGTCCCAGACCCCCACCAAAGGTGGGCCTAACGAGAATTGCTTAGTGTACTTGGGATAAAGAGTCAACTCCAGCCCTAAATGACAATTTCCTTTATTAAAAGTTCCATTGGGGAGCTCCATCTACCAATAGCTATACGTTTGATAGGTGTCATTTACGAATTTTTTTTAAAGTCTTACTGATGTTCCTGAATTTTAATTTTTAAAGAACAGAACAATTCCATTTACAGAACTTTATTGAAGATCAGAGAGTGTGATCTTTCTTTTACCATATCAGATACTGATTTATATACTCATAAACTGACCATATATATATTGGTTACTCAGTGGTTATAGTTGTCCCTGTCATCCATTAAAATGCAAAGGACACTTGGTTAGGTTTCTTATCTTATTGAACTAGATCAAAAGTGACTGTAAATGAATATAAACCAAAGAATTTTTCCTAGACCTTTTATACCTAATAGGAAAAGCATTTTCTCTCATTTTTCCCCTTATTTCTACGAGTATTCATATAAATGCATTTTATTTTAGAGAAAAAAATCCTCTAGCTTTATTTTATATGTACTGATATTACTGAATACATGGTTTGTAGGGACTAGATGAATTTCTGTTCTGAGCCTAAACTATCAGCATTTTTCTATAATCATTTTCGGCCCCACATGGAAACTCACCAGCATGCTCTCTACCTGCGCCTTTAATATTTCTTTAATATAACTTGGCTTCCTTTGTGGCTAGAGACCATGAGTGCTCATGTTGATGTGACCAAATGAGTTTATAAATATACTAATCCCATCACTAGTGATTTTGCCCAGTGCTTGAGAATATTTACAAACACTGCACTCTTCCTCCTAGGCCACCCCCGTTTGGCTCCATTCGTGCGTTCTTTATGTGTGTCTGATGCTGTCAGCACTCAGTTTCTAACTGTTGTCACCTTTTCCACATGTCCATTCCTTGCTGCCATTGACTCTCCTCCATTCCATCTCTACACCTTCTGCTTATGTGGTGCATCTACACCCAGCCCCCTAAAAAGGCTCTGGACTATGTTCGAGATCATTCTTCTGGTGTTTCCAATGAGGTAAAAACAAATTATTCTCTTTTTCAGATGTCTCTCTTAGGAGCTGATACTGTGATTCTGAACCGTCCGTGTTGTAACAACTCACCACAGTGTCTAAGCTGTTCTGGAAAAATCTATCTTTGCATCATTGGGTCGTATCCAGCATCATTGCTTAGACATTAATCATTCCAAAGTTGTGGTTGGCTCTTTCTGAAACGTAGTTGAAGAATCATTCCAGCCGTCAATTTCCGTTGAACTATTCAACACAGTCCTGGTGTCCAGGAGTGTGACAGTTAAAAAAAAATCAAAAGTGCACACTTAGTGCTTGTATCAAGCATCTGTTTTGATTAGACGGTCAAAGACAAGACAGAGCCATTTTGCCATCACGCTTGGAGGTGCAGAATGACAGTTAGGTTCTTAATTACATGTTTATGGCCCACATATTCTTAAAATTTATGTAAGTCTTTTCATTTTCCTAAATACGATTTGTGGATTTTAGCACCAGCTAGTATCAAGAATAGACTTGACAAACAACTGGGATGCATGTCCCGATTTCCCAGTTCCACATCCTTGACAGGCATTACTAATCCTTCTCAATGCTACCATCCAGGCAGCCACTGTAATGGGTTATAACTGGCAGATGAGATGAAATGCGTTTGCTGTCTCTGATTTAGAATCCTCACGGCAATCCGCCAGGTAAAAAAATGTATGCCAGGCAGTGCCACATTTTATTTGATTGCGTCAAAGAGAATCTGAAAAAGGAAGAAAAAAATCCAGAGTCAAAGCTTTTTATCCTGATTTCTGCAAAGAAAAAAATGAAATGATTTTGGAAGGCAGATTTAAGACTTACTGGTTGACCTAAGCAAAAATGACAATTTTGCTAAACATCAGCCTCCCTGTGGTAACTCTTAGAAGCAGCTAGAATGGGAGCAGAGTATATAAACTGGTTTTACACAGTGGTTTCTCTGTGGTCCTAAGTATATTCGAAAATACTTAATAAATAACTTATCATCATCAAAAAGTCTTAACTGGGTCAAATATGTGCAACTAGAATATAAAAGTAGGAAGACACCGATGTCTCAGAGAGTACTCCCGACACGCAGTGATTGTGGGCACAGTCTCAGCAGGAAATCTCCACCCCCCGAAGCTTCAATCTGCGATTCTGAACTAGGCATCAGAGCGCATGCTCAGACAGAGAAGTAATCAAAATATTTATATATTCAATTAAAAGCAAAATAGAATACTCGAGAACATTCTAGACTGCAGTCATTCCTAAAGGCTTATAACCCTAAAGACCATCAAATATAACAAGCAATTCTGTTTTGTATGTTATGTTACCTTCACAACTGAGGAAAGGCATTTCCACCTACGAAGGGAATGAGAATTTACTTTGGAATTCAGTCTGGTCAGGTGTTTTTCTGATATGTTGGTCAGATAGTTCTAGAATGTTTTTAAGGTGGATCATTGAGAATGGGCAGAAAATTTTGAGATTACCAAGTCCAACTCACTCATTTTTAAGTCAAGAAAAGTAGAGCCCAACGATTTTTTTAAATTATGTCCAAGATCACAAGGTCAGATGACAGCAAGTTAAAAATAAAACACAGATCTCATAGCCTTCACTTCTATGCCATTCCCTTTCTACCACACTTCTTAGCACGTCCAAGAGATGTATGTAGAATTCAAGACTTTAAGAAACAAGTTATTTACTTAATACTATTCCGTGTTAACTATTTTTATGAAAAAAGTTCCCGTAATTAACATTACACGATAACTCTTGGGCTAAAGAGAGCAGAAACTTAACTCTGCATTCTACATGTGATGCTATTGGCAAAAAAAAGTCACATAAAAAAGCACTTTGCTGGTGGTTAAACTAATTTGCCATTATGTCTTTGGAACTGAGAAGGACTATTATATGATTCTGTAGCATATTAATTTCCCATTATGGTGTTTCAGCGTATACAAAAATATTCTGATAAGGTACTGGATTCTATCTTCAATATCCTTATGTAAGATATTTCTGGTAAAATCTGTAATTGATTACACATTACCTTAACTACCATTTATCAAGTGCCTAGCATATGCCATGAATAACATACTTTCTAACCCATAAAACTGAGAAACTGGCATTAAGGGGGAACAATTAAGGACTTTTAAGCAAAGTTTAATCATACGATCACTTAGCAGAGTGAGTCAGTGTCCATACTGTATTAAAATGAACTTCATTTAGGTATGTTAAAATATGGTAATATATAAACTCAGTAGATCATAATAGGTAAAAGAGGCTACCTCTTTTCTGGAGACTATTTCCATTTCAGAATGAATATCATTCACATAATTATCATCAAGTTTCTCTCTTAGTCATCTATCTAGACCTTTTACTATTTCCTTACAATTTAATATTGAACTTTTTCCTTTGACCTTACATAAAAATCACAAAATTGGTTTCAGTTTATTTTGGATGGTGGAAACCAGCACAAGAAGGCATCACTGTAGTTTCTTTGCCTAAATCTGAAACACTATTGATTTATCAATGGAGAGCCGTCACTGCCTAGGCTGTGTTTTATCCCACATTACAATTTTGTTCAGGCTCATTCCAAGCTGGCCATTCAAAGTCACTGATCACTCTGGGGTGTTTACAGACATTCTGCAATCAACACTTCTTGAAACCAGCTACGGTTTGTCATTGGGTTGTCCATGAAGGTCGTGATCCACACAAGCCGCAAGGCTCTGAGGCCGTTTGGTGTTGGTCTTCTGCAAACGTATAGAATTAATATTTCTACACCAGAATATAATTTATTTACTTGTTTGCTTTCCTTCTTATTTAGTATTCATTTTTTTCACCTTTCCAGGGTCCAATCCAGAGTTCAGCAAGCTAAGTCATCATGTACATTCATCAGATTAGTGGACCGAATTTTTTTCTTCTAATTTTATATTCCTTGAGAACCTAGGAATCTAAATGTTTTTAAGAATTACAAATATTAGAATATACTTTTTCTGTCTAGAAGGAAGGGAGGGATGTTCTCTAGCAGAAAGGTGCTTTTGTTTGCTTCTGGGCAAGGTTCCATTCTCACTCAGTAAGATGGAATTAAATGAAAATATTAATTAACAGAACCAATTTTAGAGTTACGCATAAGAGGGCTTGTCAGACTGATTTACATAAAGAATCTACATAAAGAATGTTAATATTCTAATTGGTTAAGTGGTGCTAATTTATAAGTAGAAAATAAAGTTATGGAAATAGTTTTTAAAGTGTGGCTTAATTTCCACCAAGTGGGTTTGTAATACTCTGGTAAAATATTTCTATGTGATGGGAACTTTAGATAAAATCTGTCAAATCCTGCTCTTTTGGGCTGACATTTTTAAACTTCCATAGGGAAGCACATTTTCAAGCTAGAATTTCAGTTCTTCATCAGACCAAAGTTTGGGATAAATAATTGACTATCAAATATGCCCCAAAGCAAGACTATATATATATATATATATATATATATATATATATATATAATATCATAATATTATTTATATATAATAATATTATATATATAATATCACACATATATACTTGTATATACATTTCCCTGTACATTCTAGACATCACCCCACAACTACTTTCGCTCATCTTGCATTGTCATTTCAAATACTCAAGAGCTCAATACAGATCTCTCTTGCCTTAGATATTTCTATGTTTATTCTGGTAGATGGTCGTGGGGAGTGAAAAAGTCCTATCTAATATTTTTGCCTAATATCTATTTCACTGTACTGTTCAGTGCAGTACAATTGAGTATGAAAATGGTGTGTACAATAAGCATCTGGAATTATGTATCAATTTGTATTTTCTATTTTTCTTTATTCCTACAATTGAGAGTTGATGTTCTCATGAAAATTTTAAAAATCTACTTCTTTTTTAAAAAAAAGGTTACATTTTGGTTTATTAATCATTTATTTTAAATCGACCCTGAACTTAATTATTTTGAAAGATGCCAGTCTGCCCCTGATTTAAATACCAGGCAGTTTAGTTTAATTTCAAACCAAATTCTGTGGTATTATTAAGATGCCATGTCTGTGTTGACAGAGGAAAGATGTCTCAAGTTTTGCTTAAATGTTATATTCTAAAAAGAATACCAGGCAACATAACGGAAAAATTATAAAGAAGGTTTACATTGTATAAGGGCTGAATGATGATAACAAATATTTTTTTAAACATCAAACCATTCCTTGATGCAGAAAATTTCTATTTACAGTCTATTTCCTATATGAAGGAGTGCTTAACGACTTTTCTTTTCTCCACCAGGCAATGTTTGGGCTGTGGATAATTTGAGTTAGGCAGAAAAATACAGTGTGGTATATCAAAAGAGAAAGTAGATAGAAAGAAAGTAGAAATCAGGTTACATGTTTTCTCTTTGAAAGACATTTTTATGATCAAGATAAATGGGATTTTTCATCTCAGCTTTTATAATACTCTTTTTTAGGATACCTAGTTTAATGTCCAAGGACAAATGAAATTTTGCCCTGGTAAAATTTTCATGGAACTATTTTTCTATCTTAACAGGCCTCCCTGTATCAATCCTCTATAGACAGAAGCCTGGAAAGACCTACTAGGTAAGAACATCATTGCAGCATGCAACCAGAATATTATATACCAGTGATCTCTCTTTTAATAGTAATGCTACTCAGCAAAATAATAATGAGGATTATGTTATCACTCATTATTATATGGAGCACCATACTTTATGAAGTTGTTTCATTTTGTTTTTACATCATTTCATATGTTTATAAAAATTAAATGAAATAATTCTGGATTCCTTTACTGAGAAATTCTTCCCTTCCCTGTCTCCTCTAAGCTCAGTTTTCTTTTCTTTGAATGGGAATTATAAAATCTAATTTTCAATATTATTAGGTGATGCTTATGATAGTATATTTGAAAAATGTATAAATTACTAGAAAATTTCTAAATTTTGTTCTATATATTACATGCTCACCACATAAATCAGAAACATTGTTACTACAATAAATGGGGTCTTATTATATACTAGACGTTCTAAGTACATAAACATATTTGATCCTTAAGATACCACAATGAGCTAAGTGCTATCCTCCCCACTTTATCTCTGAATAAACTAAAATTAGGCCTTATAACTTACCAAGTTCACACCATTGGCAAGGAGCAGAGACAAACTAGAATTGAACCAGAATAATCTGGAACCACTAGTCCTAACTGTTCTAGAAGTCTGCCAAGATAAGTTCTGATGGTTGGCTTTAAATATCACACTTACTTCATAGCACTGCAGAAATTCATTCACAGTTCAATAGCAATGGTGATTAATACAAACTCTCAGCCACATTGTACATCAACCACAAGCCGTAGGGAAACCGTGAGGTAAGAGAAATTTGTCTCACCAGATGTCTTCCTTTTCAGAGTCTTTTCCTCCCCTGTGGCATGTTGTGGGAACTCCTTCTTTAGAGAGAAAAGATACGTGGCACAAATCACAACACTGAATGGTCAGTCACAACATATTGCACTAAAAGGAGTTTTTTTTTATTTCAAAACATTATTATATTCTAAGAAACAAGGCACAGGATCATAAGGGAAGAGAGGAAAAAACAAAACAAGAGGAAACCACAGAGGCAGACAAACCATGAGACTCTTAATCTCAGGAAACAAACTGAGGGTTGCCAGAGGGGAGGGGTCGGGCGGGATGCGGTGACTGGATTATGGACTTTGTTTCATATTGTATAAGACTGATGAATCACAGACCTGTACTCCTGAAACAAATCATACCTTATGTATTAATAATAAAAATATGCAAAAAATTAAACATACTTAAGGTCAGTACTTTCAAAGAAATAAAAATAAAACATGATTATAAACACATAGCCACACACACCCCAAAAAAACCAGCACATGGATGTTTGTAACAGCTTTATTCATAACTGCCAAAACTTGACGCGACCAGAATACTGTCCGGTAGGTGAGTTGAGATAGAAATTTGTGCATGCATATGAACGAACAGTTTTCAGCAATAAAGAGAAAGGAGCTATCACGCCGCCAAAAGACACAGAGAAATCTTAAAATCAGGAACTTCGGTGGGAAACAGCCTTAACATAAACTACGGACTTTAATTACATTTAGTAATAATGAGTCAAGATGGTTCATCAGCTGTCACAAACACATCCCAGGAACAGACAATGTCACGATGGGAGAAAATGTGTGCACGAGGAAAGGGAGCTTAGGAGAACTCTCTGTACTTTCCAATCGATTTTTCTGTAAACCTAACACTTCTCTAAAAAAAAAAAACCACAGTCTATGAATTTTTTTACAGAGAGGATTATAAAGAAATAGTGTTTAGTAGCAAGGAATGCATTCTTAAAACTGCTGTTTGGGGGAAGTGAGGGAAGAGACGTTCTGTCGCTAACGCTTCCCATCAGTCCTTCTGAGTCACAGGGGAACCTCCTCCAACGCCAGCCTAAACCAAGCCGATTCCTTCTTTTAGTTCTGCGAGCATGGCCAGTGACTTTAGGAAAAGGAGGAAGAGCGAGCCTGCGGTGGGGCAGCCCAGGGGCTTGGATCCGAGTGCGAGCAGGACCAGCCCGGGGCGAGCGGACCTCCCGGGACCAGGCGGCCCCGTGACAAAGTCTTTCATCAGTTCTTCTCCTCCTTCCCCCTCAAGAGCAAAAGGTGAGCGACCATAGATTGACATGTAAGCAATTTACTAGCTTAACTTTAATCGAGGGTACCGTGTGAGGGCTGTTCCAAGATAACCATTCAGAAAGAGTTAACATTTAAATACAGCATCTTGAATACAATTTGGTTTCAAAACAGTAATTTCTCTTTTTTACACAGACTAGGTCAAGTTGGCGGGCCATTTGATGGCTCCATCTAGCCTCAAGACGCTTTCTTCCTCCAAATAATCCATTTGTGGGTTTTTCTTGAACAAATTCGAAGGATCTAACTTACTGTCGGTCTAGTAAAAGATTACATTTATAAATATTTGCATACTGTCAAAAATGTTCTAGTGTTACTACAGCCAGCAAAGTTAATCACATTTCTAGACTAGGAACTGGAAGTAGCAACCAAGAACGTTGTTGCCTAAAACACTTTGATTTGGGTGTGTTTTATTTTTTTTTTTTAGTTCTAGATAAAAATGTGTCTGACCGGTAAAGTTATTTCTTTAGTAATCTGTTTTATATTTTGGTGAACATTTATATAGACAGTAGAATATCTGTGTTCCGCACGGAACATTGTGTTTGATTCAAAACATTCCACCAGTAAGACCTAACTGGTTTCAAGCCATACTTAGAAAAGTTGAGATAACACCAAGTCATTTTTCCATATGGCCTGTCTCCTCTCTGTAAATTAGATGAGCTGTGTTGAGAGAGGGCAAGTCTCTCCTCCAGGTCTCTGAAAGACCGTTCAGTGCATTATTGCTGGGCTAACCAGAACATTCCCAAGATGGAGACTGAGGCTTGAAATGGCATGTGCAAGTATCTGAGGCCATACCACATTTGGGGTCCCACAATCTCCCCCAGTCTCCTAGGCTTGAAACAAAATACCAAAGGAATTTGAAGTGTGTGACAAACTTGAGCTCTAACAGAGGTTTCCATAATACAGCACAGACTCAGCTACACTTATCAAACGTAAGCGCTTAAAGTGTTGCCATGTGGTGATTAAAGCTAAGCAGTAGCTGGTCTATGGGCAGAAGACAGGCAGGTCTGGACGACTGGACTCTGGGTGGGTGGGAGGCACTAACCATCTTCCCAGTAAAACTGTGCATATTATCCGGAACGTTCAGAAGGAGTGAGACCCTCTCATGATGCCTTTCATCAAATTCACTGAGATGCTTGGATCAGATTCTACTCATTTATGCAAATGAATGCCTTAAGAAAATAAATAATTCATGAAATACCACTGATTCATTATACTTGGATAGCACCCAAAAGTTAAAAGGATTCTGATTAATTTAGGTAATTGTTTTTTATCCCAGAGAGTGTTAAATCAACTTCTTTTCCCAGATATTACATATCTATTCAATGTGCTAATCTGCTTTTGAAAAATGTGGGTAAGATTGTAAGGCAGGAATCAATACAGATATTTTCCTTCATGAGGTTCCCTTCTAAGAAGGAAATTTCCCATTAGATGTAATTTGGTCATTTATTTATTAGTGAACTCAGCACAGCAAAAGAGTCTTTCCAAACATCTTCTAAATTGAGGTCAGTTTTAGCTCTCTATTACCAAATTGCAAATTATTTAAAAAAAAAAAAAAAACCTCCCTGGAAAAAAGCAAGATGTGTTTACCTCTGAAGGAAGTTTTATATTATATCCCCTTACCTTATAAGAACCTGCCTCATAAGAGGTTAAAAGTGGAGCAATTAAAGAGGTAAATTCATTTATTTAAAGAGGTTCCACTTGTGTTTTTTTCCCTTGGAAACATATTAGCAGCAACAGTACACAACATCTTGGTTTTGCAAATTTAGAAAATTTGTATCACCCTTTTTGCATCTAATGCCCATGAAAAATTATTTGGTACAGTTATGGGACTGGCGCTTAAAAGCAAATTTATAAATTACTCTTATTCTCTGTCGTTATGAATCAACTGAGACTCAAATCCTGACCGTATTAAGTTGATTAAATCGGTAGCACTTTTGGCCTTAATTGTTCAAACTTGAAATGACAACCCAGGCATGCTATAGATTAGCTTTCGAGGTTCGCCGTGTTTGCCGGAAGATGTGTGAACACCATAAAAATAGGTAGATTTGCTACATTACCTTTTATACAGTGTTTTGTTGACTCTCATATCTGCAAAGCTACCTTCACTGAGAAAGTATTACCTTGCTTTAGAATCTGGCTTTTTTCTCTAGAGTTGAAGCTACATGTTTAACAGTCGGTGTCTAGATCAAACCATGCTAACTTCTTTCTCTTTGCTGTGCTGTCTGTTGCTAAGTGACACGCTCTCCTCTTTGTGAACCTTTTAACTTCTCCAAATGTCTCTCTTCCACCACGCTGCCCTGGATTAAAAGGTGGGGATGATATATGTCCGTCCCTTTACAGTTACTCAGGGCTCAACGGCAACCCCTCCAATGAGTTAGATTACTGTAACGCTTACAGACAGCATTTGGATGTCCCTCGTGACTCACAGAGGGCCATTACTTTCAAGAACGGCTGGCAGATGGCCCGACAGAATGCAGAGGTCTGGAGCAGCACTGAGGAAACGGTGTCCCCCAAAATCAAATCCCGCAGCTGTGACGATCTCCTAAACGACGACTGCGATAGCTTCCCCGACCCCAAGACCAAGTCAGAGAGTATGGGTTCTCTGTTATGTGAAGAGGACTCCAAGGACAGCTGTTCTATAGCGTGGGCCTCCCCCTACATCCAGGAGGGTCGGAGTAACGGCAGGTCAAGGCTCCGGCACAGGTCAGCCCACAACGCCCCGGGGTTCCTCAAAATGTACAGGAAAATGCATCGCATTAACCGCAAGGATTTGATGGCGTCCGAGGTGATCTGCTCCGTCAAGTCGAGGATAATGCAGTACGAGAAGGAGCAGCAGCACAAGGGCTTGCTGCACGGATGGAGCCAGTCCTCCACCGAGGAGGTGCCCAGGGACATGGTCCCCACCCGCATTTCTGAATTCGAAAAGCTGATTCAAAAGTCCAAGTCCATGCCCAATTTAGGAGACGAAATGTTATCTCCCATCAGCCTAGAAGCTCAACAAAATGGTTTATGTCCCAAGAGGCGATTTTCCATTGAGTCTTTGCTGGAGGAAGAAGGTCAGAGCAGACACGCTTCGCATATGCAGCGGAGCTACGAGCCCCAAGCCCTGGTACCGATTCATATCGAGGTCACCAGTGACGAGCAGCCCAGAGCACACGTGGAGTTCTCCGATAGCGACCAGGACGGTGTCGTGTCTGACCACAGTGATTACATTCACGTTGAAGGATCGTCCTTCTGCAGCGAGAGCGACTTCGATCACTTTTCTTTCACGTCCTCTGAAAGCTTCTACGGGTCCAGCCACCATCACCACCATCACCACCATCACCATCACCGACACCTGATCAGCTCCTGCAAAGGCAGATGCCCGGCCTCCTACACCCGGTTCACCACGATGCTGAAACACGAAAGAGCCAAACACGAGAACACCGAAGAGCCCAGAAGACAAGAAATGGACCCTGGGCTCTCTAAGCTTGCATTTCTGGTCAGTCCCGTGCCTTTCCGGAGGAAAAAAAATTCAACGCCCAAAAAACAGACTGAAAAGGCAAAATGTAAAGCTTCTGTATTTGAGGCTCTGGACTCTGCCCTTAAAGACATTTGTGACCAGATTAAAGCTGAAAAGAGAAGGGGAAGTTTGCCGGACAACAGCATCCTGCACCGTCTCATCAGTGAGCTTCTGCCAGATATCCCCGAGAGGAACTCGTCACTTAGAGCTCTGAGAAGGAGCCCCATGCACCAGCCTTTCCACCCACTGCCTCAAGACGGTGCTATGCATCGTCCGTTGTACCAGAATGATTGTGGGAGAATGCCTCACAGTGCCTCTTTCCAAGACATGGACACCACCACCGCCAACTACCGTCACCAAGACCATGACAGTGCACGGAGTCTCCAAGGTGGATGAGCTTTTCTTTCTTTTTCTTTGTGGTTCAGACACCCGCCATCCAGCTCTCTCACCTTCCATTCCTACATCTCATCATTCCTAAGCCGGGAGACCACCTGGCATTGTTACGTGTTTTTTGAAGCAAATGCTTGTTGTGCAAACGGGTCTTACTAGATCGTCTCATTTGCCCATGTGCTATCTGTGCTCCATGTGTGGCTTAAAGTGATCACTAATTCACAAAAATTTACTCATTCAAAATCAAAAGGGAAAAACATCTTGTAGCTTAATGTTAGGGCTGCAACCACGTACATCAAAACACCAAATTGAACTTATTTTACCAATTTAAGAGGGTTCCAAGACAGAGACCATGATTGAGTATCAGTATCCTTAAGAGACTGACAACTCTTTTTTTGTGGTAAAGTGAATCAAAACCAGTAACTTAACAAATAGCTTTTTTCTTGATTTTTACGTTAACTTTATAAAGTTATATTCAATAAATAATTTGCTTACATGCAATGTAAAGGTACTACATCAAAACACTTAGGAAGCAAAATTGAAGTATGTCATGTAGTAATTGATGGTCAATGAGAAAAGAATAGGATTTGTTTAGACTTTCTTCATTTAAAGGACATAATGAGACAGAATTTTTGTGAATGCATCTTTAAGCTATATATACAGAAATCTCATCTCCATCACTCAGTGTATTTCATTTTCTCTGCCTTTCCATATCTTAATTTATTTGTTTTCTATTTCTGCTAAAAGAATCTTATACTGACATTTGAATTAGACCATGTAGGTAAAAAGTGATTCCCAAGTCCATTGTCATAGATGAATTATCACCTTGAAGTGGCAACACAAGGACAAATAACAGTTCAAATGCAGAGGACTTTTTTGAGATTTTCGGGGGTGTTTGGGCATTTTTCATACAATCTTTATACAATTCTTTTGGTTAATTCTTAAAGCACATCTGTTTATTATGTAAATTTTAAGAAGCTGGAAAGAATATTCCATGCTGAAATTTGGATTATCAATAGTCTTCTATGCACGGAACACTGCAAAGTGTTTTACAAATGTCATCTAATTAACACCGGCCTGAACCTAGGTGATAGGTGTCATTATAAGCATTGTTTTATAGTTCAGACCCAGGGAAGACGAGATTTGACCAAAGTCACTTAGGGAGTAGATAGGAGAAAAGAGATTCAAACTCCTAGTAATTCAGATTTTATAGTCTAGAATATAATCTCTATAGTTAAAAAAAATCAAATTTCATATTAATGTAGTATGTTAACTGCCATTGCACACATTTGCTCATTTTATTAGTGTTTATCTTTGCTTTCATTTATACTATACAACATGCTTCAAAAATAATAAACTAGAATTTTTTAAATCAATGCCTACAGTTTGAAATTTTACCTATTGAGATTGAGATGTCATAGTTTAAGTTTTTAATTAATTAGCTACCTTTTCCCAATATTGGACAATTCCAGTTATTCAGTTAGGTAGATGAATAATAATCATCCCTTCTAAATTTTATGCACAGGTAGAGTACATTATTGAAACATGATTTGAGGGAACTTCGAGAAGCATTTGATGAAATAAAATATTTACTTTCCAACTTTGTTTAGCCCAGTTGAAAAATAGTTTATATTCCAAGGATTAGCAAAAGTAATTTACAATTTAATGATCGGTATGAGAGCCCTATGATCGTAAAAGTATATGATTTAAAACAGAAAATAAATGGCACATAATCCTCTCTCACTCTTGAAAATAACCGATTAAGTTTTACCTGAAATATTTGTGGCCATGCTACCTTATTAAACCTAAAGACTTTGGAATTCACAACTAATAGAGAGTTAGACCTTTATCCTTATGTTGTCACATAACTGATATCCCACCTGCTTTTAAGCAGACAATTCTTCCTTATAGTCAAAGCTGTCAAAATTTTTAAACAATGCTTTCCTTTTATGAATTGGCATTTTAAATTCCTTTATGGCTGTATTTATTTTACTTTTAATGCTTCTTGTTAACCAATATAACTAAATTTATTAAAGGCTAAGAGAAAGAATTTACTAATTTTGACCCAGGTATACTGGTAGAATTCTTTAACAGAAATTACTGGGGTACGTTTAGCCTCTAGTTACATTTCCACATATCAATGTGTAAAGTATGAGACCATTAAGAGATACTTGTAATCACAATTTTGTAATATAACTATTTATACTTTGTTTTAAGGTGAACAGAAACAATTCAGTATTTCAAAAGCAGTTTGGCAACCAATACGATACTGTCTGTTTAGAGAATTTTTATCCCTTTGTTTCTTGGAATAAAAAATACTTTCTGATAAGGTACTTGAGCAAAAGGGAGGGCAAAAGATACAAAGTTTTTAACCCTTTAAATGACATCTTAGATTTAATGAGGAGAGGGGGCAGCAAGAAGGGCTGGGGGAAGAGACACATCCATAGTTCTGCCATCAGCGTACTTTCTTTTTTTATATTTTCTTTTTCATTACTGCATTCTTAAATTGTTCCACAAAATGTTTTAGTTTTTGTAAACTCTTGCTATTTTCAAATTGTCCATCTTCTATCGGTCCCATAGAGCAAAAGGAAAAGAAAGTATTAAGTCTTTGAGATGGGAAATCCCCAGGACTATGAATTGTCTACAACGAGTGCTGCAGCATAAATACATCAACAATGTAACAATTATATGTGTGATTAGAACACTTCTGCCACCTCGGATATTTGTCCGTTTTGAAATGTGCTGGTTTTGTGTCTTTTTTCGCAACTTTGTAATGACCTATGAGTTTTATACCCATGTCTTCCATTGTGGTGTCTCTCGAAATCTGAAGGAGAAAATAGTTGCCACCAGGAAAATGGCAAAAAGGGTCAGCTTTTAATTAAGTGGATACTCACTCCGGCCCTGTCCTCTCCCACAGACCACGAGTCCCCTAGAAGTTATGCATCCACCATGACTGACCTGGGGAGAAGCGCACCTCGGGAAAGAAGAGGAACTCCGGAAAAAGAGGTGGTGTGTTTAGTGCTACTTGAGTCTTTTTTCTGCAGCGTATTTGGCAAAGCACTTGTCAGCTGCGAGGCTTCTCTGAGTCTTGAACTGACACCCATGCATGAACAACGGAGCTCTGCTAGAGTCTCGAACTGGGTTGCCCCACAGAGGAAGATTTCCCTGTACAAATGTCCCCACTGATGTAGGGGAGAGCCCTAGGTCATCTGTGTTGCAAAGCCATACAAATTGGACATAACGATTTTTGCTGGCCTGCTTTTATTGGAGAACATCTCTGAAAAATTGAGGCTCCTAGGAATGGCCTAGCTCTTTGTCCGTGGCCCTGGCTCAGGGCCGGAGCTCTGGTGCGTGCTATCTTGGAGCTGTTTGATGGCAGCTGAAAGCAGGTCTCAGACTGGCAGTCAATCCAGGAGAATCACTAGGCTGTGTCTTCTATAGTCTAGAGCCTGTGGGACCCCAGAGAAGTCAAGAATGTTCCAGGTTGCCTGAAGTTCACAGAATCTTGAGGACAGAGAGTGGGGGAGAGGGGATTACTGGGAAGTGGAGAAGGAAGATCTGGAGTGGCTAGCTGTGGGGAATAGGGTGATTGAAGGAGAGTGTGTATCACGTCTTATTATGACCAAAAGGCTGGTTTACCATGTGCTCAAGATGATCCAGTCTGTGCTTTGGGTCACTAACTAGCTTCCCAGTGATAACTGGGCTAAGATTTCTTTGCTACTATGTTGATAATTATTTAGTAAAAGGGATTGATGGTCTCCTTCGTGACTCTTTCCAGTCTTTTGATTATGATTCTGAAGGAGTTATGTCGATACGTAGAACCTAGAACAACTAACCCTCGGCATTATCCCGGGAAAAGCCAGATTCATCCCTGGGACAGAACCCTTGGCAGAGCCCTATTCATCTTCCCTAGTTTCTAAGATGAAATATGATATTCAGTGGTTATGATGAAAAAGTCATCTACTATGTTCCTGTTATCACTTAAATACCTAAATGAAGGACTAATTGGTTGATTGATAAATTGCATAAAGGATTTACATATGTTTCATCATTCTTTGTGATTTCATTTCCCTTTGATTCACATGAAATTACTTTCTTGAAAAAAAAATCCAAATTGTAAGTGAGTGCTAATTGTTTACCTTCCCTTTCAGAAATTGCCTGCAAAAGCTGTTTATGATTTTAAAGCTCAGACATCTAAGTAAGTAAGATAAGTGTTATATTATACAATTTAGGGTGGCTTAAATACTTCAGTAATATTTAAGAGGTAAATATTGCAGTGAGATGTATCACAAATAAGGTCTAAGTCCCAATTGAGCAGTTGGCTGTAATTAGTGTTTTCTTCACAATTAACTGGGATGGGGTTGATTTCATTTTCATCTGAAGTTTAATTGACAAACATTGAGTTTTAAATGACACTCAACATGTTAGAGCACCATGAGTTCAAAAGGATTGGAAAACAAAAGTGATATTAAGAATCTTTGTTTCTAGAATTTTTGTGTCAAGAATGAAATAAAAGTAAAATGTTGGTGAGTAAACACTACCTGAGAGAATTTGATAACACTTATTTATCCAACCATATCCAGGATAGTTTGCAGGGTAGAAGAGTAAAACAGTGAACAAAGATTCCCATAGTCAAACCTCCATGTCTTAACACTTTAACATTGAGATTCTGAGCAAAATTTTCACCTCTGGTCTTTTTTTTTTTTTTTTTTAAGATTTTTATTTATTTATTTGACAGACAGAGATCACAAGTAGGCAGAGAGGCAGGCAGAGAGAGGAGGAAGCAGGCTCCCCACAGAGCAGAGAGCCCAACACGGGGCACGATCCCAGGACCCTGGGATCATGACCTGAGCCAAAAGCAGAGGCTTTAACCCACTGAGCTACCCAGGCGCCCCTCACCTCTGGTCTTTTGATGTTGGTGTTTTCATACTCCTGTGGGGCAGTAATTTTTTTTTTTTTTTTGGCCTTTTGTACTTGGGAACTTGTTAATCAGATGGGCATGTGTTAGTACTAAGCACATAAAGAGGCTTAAATAGGAGGGAAACTTCCAGATCTGTCATGGCCCATGTGTACAGACCTGATTTCAGAAACTCTGATCTCCATTAGAATTCAAGGTATTGAAACAGTTGAATATTGGCATTAAATTATTTTGTGTTGTTCAGACAGAATATTTATAATAATAAAATATTTTATTCATAAAAATGTATATTAATATTATATTAATCAATTAATAGTTCTAGAAACTGTCTCTGCCATTAGACATACAAAAAATAAAATCACTCAGACGTGGGTAATACTGCTGAATTGGTGGATGAACTAAATAGGAAAATGCTATCTAGAAATTAAGATGGCTTAAAACTAGTGTTTAAAAAAATCCTGAAGGAAAGCTTACCTACCCTTTTTTTTTTTTTTGATGACATAAGTAACATCTGCTTTGTTTGTACTACACTCTAGTAGCTATGACCGTGCTCTTTGGATACAGTGTGATGATTTGTATGATACATGCCAATTTTACAAAATAATGACTTAGAACATGTAAATTTCATTTCTTCCTTGTGACAAGAAATCAGAATGTATGAAACCCTGAGGAATGACGGGGGCACATAACATAGGAAAGGTATCCACCCAGGGCCCTCAGCTTTTTAAGAAAGCTTAATAAAAAACAGGCTTTGGGAGAAAGATGATGTACAGTGCTGAGGGAAGTGTTTGGGGTGTTCACTGTGTCGCTGGATTTTGTTTGCTCCAAGTGCCAAGCTTTCCGCCATCCTCCAAGGCCCTGTCCTCATTGCAGAAGCTCTGAGTTAGCAAAGGTTCAAGGCTGGCAAATGGCACAGCCTTTCTGAATGATTGTCTATGCCATCCCCCACCTTTCATGAAAATCTTTCAACACCTGCAAAATCGAATTGCATAAGCCTTCAGAGCAGTCGATCCAATAACCACCCATGGAAGCCAACCCATATTTTTTTGTAAAAAACAAAAACAGAAACAAAAAACGCTTCCCACATACCATGAGTAAGCTGGTCTGATGGCTGCTTAACCATATTCCTCTGGTTCTGTTCTCAGGAAATGTAAAGAGCAGTCAGTCCCCAGTGTAGTCGCCCTATATGACACAAAAATCGAGGTTATGGACGACTTGTGCAGCTTTAAAAGGCTCGCACCCCCAGAAGCACTGAATGTACTGGAAATACTCTTAATTAATAGCTAGATGTAGTGCTTTTTGTGCCTAACATCTTATAAACAAGAAACCGATAGATGTATCTGTTTTAAATAAATAGGTTTTAAAAGCTATTTTTCCTTTCCCTAATGCAAAATGCTTAATTTACAAAAACGCAACTCAGTAACTCACCCAATGTAATCTCTCAATTGTAAAATAGGAAAAAGAGATAAAATGTCATTTCCAAAGGTTGTCAATGGCCTCAATTCAAAAGGTTTAGGGGAGGGAGGAAGCAACCTTTACTATAATGGGGCTCAGAAAATCTAGGTCTGAGATGAGAGAGACACAGTTTTGAAAACTGTTAAGTGAGATTTCTGTCCTTTATCTAGAAGCCTTCAAAATTTTAAACACAAACCTTTAAAAATAGATTTGATTTCTTTTCACATTGAAAAGAAAAAGTTAGTTTTCTCTAATTGACATTTAAAAACAAAAAGCTAAAGCTTCCTAGTCTCCTTTCCAGACACAAAACACACCTGGTGCTAAGAAAGCTGTTGGACTGTAAACATTAAATATTTTGCTTTTTGTTTCCTACATCAGGCACTTCATAAAACAGGGAAATACTACATTGAGGCTCTGTGAATCTTCTTTGTCTTTAGGGTTACTGAAAATTTAATGCACTTTCTTTTTTTTTCTTTTTTAAGATTTTATTTATTTATTTGACAGACAGAGATCACAAGTAGGCAGAGAGGCAGGCAGAGAGAGAGGAGGAAGCAGGCTCCCTGCTGAGCAGGGAGCCCGATGCGGGGTTCTATCCCAGGACCCTGAGATCATGACCCAAGCTGAAGGTAGAGGCTTAACCCACTGAGCCACCCAGGTGCCCCTGCACTTTCAGTGTGAATATTTTAGCACTTCTAATTGCTCAATCATTCTTTTAATATGCAACATCTTTTTTCCAATTAATTCTTTTAATCAATAAGAAATATTCTACATCTGACATCTACCTGCCTCTCCTTTATCTATTCGGCATCAATAAACAACCCAACTCCACGTTCTGAATGAAATAATGCAGAAGATCCAAGAGTGGGAAGGCCGATGTCTAGGAAAGTGGGGCTCTCAAGAAAAGATGGGAAATAAGTGTCCTCCGACAAAACATAATTATGGAGACAAAACAACAAACAGACACAATTCCCTGGGTAACGAAGCCGTGAAAAACAGACGCAGTGAGGGTGAGCAGGCAGGCGTGAATTCTCCAAAATAATCAATGTCTTTAGAACTTAAAATTACATTATCCACATTTACCGGCTTAGGAAAAAGCAGGTAAATAAGCTTCTTCTTTGAAAGAGCCCAGATGGAAAACCATAGTTACCATCTTGAAAATATTTTTATTTTTTTAAAAACAAGGGGCACCATGTGTGGCTCAGTCAGTTAAACGTCCGCCTTCAGCTCAGGTCATGGTCCCAGGGTCCTGGAATCGAGCCCTGCATCAGGCTTCTTGCTCAGCGGGAAGCCTGCTTCTCCCTCTCCTTCTGCCTGCCACTCCCCCTGCTTGTGCTCTCTCTATAGATATCAAATAAATAAAATCTTTAAAAGAAAAAGATCTAGGGGTGCCTGCGTGGCTCATTCTATTGATTATCTCAGGGCGCTGGGACTGAGCCCCACATCCAGGCTCTGCGCTCAGTGGGGAGTCTGCTTCTCTGCCTCTCTCCCCCCAGCTCATGTGCACTCTCTTTCTCCAGTAAATAAATAAATCTTTTTTAAAAAAGGTACAAAGTAGGCAACAAGCAATCCGTGTATGTCTTTACACTCAAAACATGTTTCTCTCTGTGCTCCACTAAAGAACAAAAGATCTTTATCTTTACACAAAACACATTCCTGATCAAAACATTCCACTTAAATGCCTGACAACCAGCTTCAAGGACCCATAAATAACAATTTTCTGGTGATGGTCCTTCTGTGCTACAGCTAAATATTGATTTTCCTTATTGTAAGCTTTAGCACATCAAAAGGAGACAGGAAGAGAGACGTCAGTTACCCCGCTAACTAGCTGACCACCTTCAGGACAAATGAAATCAGTGCAGACCTCATGTACCATTATACCAAACTTCACTGCTCCTCCACGATAACCTCCTGATGACACAGCAGTCGCCTGTCCCTGCCTTTAAATCTCATATGCCCGTAATTTATATCCAATGTGATGTTTACACTTGTTCTCTTCTGAGATCACTTCTTACGTTGTAATGTGATCAGTGAATTCTAAGAGTTTGCAAGGAAAATCCTTACGTACCTGGGCTGGGCAGATTATTTAATAGGGACAGTATATTTCTCAGCCAAATGCCAATCGAGAGAGAGTGTTGATCTCACCAGTCATTGCTCTACTTCGGGGGAAAACCCACTGAAACCTGTCTCTTCCAGGGAGCTGTCATTTAAGAAAGGAGATACTGTCTACATCCTCAGGAAAATAGATCAAAATTGGTATGAGGGAGAGCACCATGGCAGAGTGGGCATTTTCCCAATCTCCTACGTCGAGGTAGGTCCTTTCCTTTCCCTCTTCCGTGGTAGTTGCTTCCAGACTCACCACAGATCAAGGCTAAGTCCCTGTTTTCCTTCGCAGAAACTCATACCTCCCGAAAAAGCACAGCCTGCAAGACCCCCTCCGCCAGCGCAGCCTGGAGAAATCGGAGAAGCTTTGGCCAAATATAATTTCAGCGCTGACACAAATGTGGAGCTATCGCTGAGAAAGGTACCCCGGCTGTTTTCTCCAACAGCGCCTTTTGAAAGGCTCTTATTTTCAAAACTAAAATAGGTTACCTTTTTCTTAGACATTTTTGTGCTTCCCCCACGTGCTACAAAGGACTCTATAAGACCACCCCCAGGTGCCGTTACCCAGGCTCCTGTGTCCTTCCAGATGAGGTCCCCTGCAGGACACAAAGCTTCTCGCAGCGACCTTCCCTCCTGGGCTTAGCAGGGCAGGCTCCGACTCCTCTCCGAGGGGCACCTGGGGTTAAATCTCCCAGACCTCTCTCTGTGGAAACATCAAAAGGAAAAGAACACTTTCATGCACCTCGAAATATTGTTGCCCTGCTGCTTTATTATTCAATTTAAAAAAAAAAAAATACTGTTCCCACATTTAATTTTATCTTGGCATGAAGGAACGGTCCTCACATAATGCAGGTACTTCTCGCGCCGGAGCCTTTCAGAGAAGTCATTTGCGCAGTGCTCCTGCCTTGATCAGCACCCTCTGGGCCTCAGGACCGACCCAGATTCCACTAGCAACTTACCCAGTTCTAGGAGCTCTTCTGAAGAATGTCAGGAAGAGCCTCTTGACTTGAAGCAACTTTACGCAGTGAAGAAAGAGCAAATGAACGATTCTCGTTCTGTGAAGCTTAGCCGTCATGTTCGTATGCTGGCAGCAAGCACAGTCTGCGCAGAGGAAAGGCTGGAGAGTCACCCGTACGGTGGTTCTAGAACCTCATTGTCCCTCAGGGCAGTCCTTAGCCAGGAGCAAGGAAGAGAAGCCCCACTGTTCTTATCCTGGGAGAGCCTTCTCCCCTCTGCGCTCTGGTCCAATCAATTCTTGTCCCCCCCTCCAGCCTCAACACAGCTTCTCACGATCCCAACCAGCTTCTATTTCCTAGTGAAAGAGAATCTTCTACCGATGCGATCTATAGCTCCAGCAGGAGCCTAGCCTCAGTGGGGTGTGACTGAGAAAAATCAGTACAGATTTTAAGAGTAGAAAGATTTGCTTTTCTTCAGTGTGTCCCGCCCAGTGCCAGTGTGGGACAGGCTCTAGGAAGACTTGCGCCTTGAGCGTCCCCTGAAGGAGGTCACCCTACTGCGCTGAAGCTTTGACTCTGTCCTCCTCTAGGCCCCATCAGCAGCCCAGACTTCCGTACCACCTGCTGGACGCGGCTGCAGAGTTACTGCCATTTAACCACAATTTGCCTATTTATTTCAGAGCCACACGTGGTTTCAGGTCGAAATTTCAGCTGAGTTTTGTGTCATTGGCACGATCGCTGCCAGTAGTAGCAATGGTAACCGTAGAAAGTTCTATTATTGCTAAAGCCAGGGGCTCTGTGAAAATGTCTAAATGACGACCTTGGCGTTGTCCCCAACCGGCGAGAATGGACAGCATTGCTACACCATCTTAACGCAAAGCAGGTGGAGGTCAGCCCTGGCTGTGGAGGGGACTATCTTTGCCCCGTCCTGCTAGCCATACTCTTTGCTGCTATTTACCAGGTGTAGATCGAGGAAGAAAGGCAGTGTGCCCTTCAACGTCATCCCTTCCAGAGGTTGATTTCCGCAGTCCATTTCAGACACACTAGCAGAGCGCGCTGAGCTGCACTTCCTGCAGAAGGAGGACATTCCCTTGAACCCATCAGTGATAGGATAACGCTACTGTCAGTGAGATTTTCCCTGTTAAACTAGTCTGCTTTTTAAGGAAACGGATTTGGGTCCTTCCACATGGTACCAGTGTAAGAACATGTGTAAGCCCATTCCCATTAACTAGGTATCCCTAGGGAAGATTCTCATGTCATGAACGAATGATGAAATTGCCTATATGTAGATGATCTGTGATTAGGAGTGAACTCAGTTTATTTGTGTTCTCCTTACAAAAACAAACAAACAACAACAATAACTAGGGGTATCAGACTTTTCCCAAACGGAAAACTACTGTTTATGAGACAACCATGACAATTACACTTTTTTGTTGTTGTTATCACATCTCTATTTATAACGCATTTTCCTAATATTCATTACAGGGAGATAGAGTTATTCTTCTTAAAAGAGTTGATCAAAACTGGTATGAAGGTAAAATTCCAGGAACCAGCAGACAAGGCATCTTCCCTGTTTCCTATGTAGAAGTTGTCAAGAAGAATCTGACCGCAGGTGCTGACGATTATCCCGACCCTCCAATCCCCCACAGCTACTCTAGTGATAGAATCCACAGCTTAAGTTCCAATAAGGTAAGAAGACATTCTAGCATATTGGTATAATACTTGGGAGCCTGAAGTAAGATTGTCAATATGTGACGTTAGGCATTAGACTAGAACATCAAATCTAGTCTAGCACAAAATGTATATGTTATATTTCTAAAAGTGCGTGCCATGTCAAGTCAATATAGTTTCTTCTACTGAGGGGCGCTAGCACAAAGGTTTAATGCTGGATTTTTATAATTTATTTTTCGAATTAAAATACTGAAGGAGAAAACATTAGTATCACAGTGATCTCATACGATATATACATGTGTACATACACATGTATCTGCTTTTTGAAATTTTTTCTGAAGCTTGATTTTTTTCCTAAAGCTTGATTTTATTTTTATAGGTGCATCTTTTACATGGATTTGAATAGGTATAAGTCATATATATAAGTATATGTAGATAGATAGGTCTCAAAATGGTCTCAAGGCATGGTAATTAAGTTGACAAAATTCTATAAAAGTCTTGTTTTTTTTTTTAATACAGAAAAAGAGAGAGGAAAAAAATTAATTAAGGTTTGTAAGTCAGTTTGCTTATTAGTTTGAATGAAAATGTCATTGGTTATTAAGTTTAGGGTGATTTTGTGCCAGAACTACTGTCTCTCTTGAGCTATTAGCTGAAGATTATTATCTTTCTCAATATGTAACTTAAAAGGGACTTTGCTTCCTGAACTGATTAATTAGAAAAGGCTATTTTCCTACTTTTCTTACAGTGTGAATTTTTCCTTCATTTTCTATGGAATTATAATATGTTGTGTTCTTCTCATGGATGGTATTTAGGGATTTCTTTCTCCTTCTCATTAACTTTCAAGTGTAAAACTTAAAATTACCAAGGAACTGTTCCACTTCCCAGCATTTTGAACATTTTATTTTGCACAATTTATTAACCAATTTGGCTGGGACATAGAAAATAAATCATTTAGAGCTAACAAAATAACATCAACGTATCAAACATTATTCAAGGGTGAAGTCATCATGTCCCAGTACAAAAAAGCATCCCAGGTGACCCAAAGTACTCCTTGACAAGGAGCCTAGAAGAATTTTACATATGTAAATGATCGCAGAGTTTACCCTCTCAAGAGAAGCATTCTCTTTTAAAAGGGCATTTTATTTATTCTACTCCTCTTTGAAGACTAGGTTTCAGTTGCTGGTTAATTGCTTTCAATCCTTTATCACTGGATAATATCATTGGGTAATAGAACAGTTTGGTACTCTCTGATTTTGTCTAATTATAAAGTTTTTCAGAAGCTCCTTCAGGATGTGTATTTCACTACCAGAGGTTAGTTCTAGAGATCAATGTCCTTGCTTCACATTCCTACTGATAAAAAGAAAAGATCAGAATCTTCATCCATATATGTGTCTTAATTACCCTTCAGTCATCTCAAAAGAACTACCAGCTAAATTTCAAAGAGGCCATACCTTCAAAGAAAATTTTATAAGAAAGAATAAGCATGCATCTACAAAGCCTTATTTAACATGTAAGAAATTCTTCCATAATGTCCTAATTAATACTGGCAATGTAATATTATAGATTGTAGCATTTTAATCTTGATTGTGAATGATTTAAATGTATTTTCAGTTTCCTAGGTTTTTTTTCTTAGAACACCAGGTTTTACATTTTATAAATAGAGAAATTTCACTAATAACTAATTAGTGTTTATTCTCAACTGCTGGGAAGAAAACATGTTGAAAAGCTCATGTCTATAATTTGGAAAAAAAAAATACTTAATGGTTTCATCCCATCTGGTAATCTATGCTATGATATCACTGGCTTAATGAAGGAAACTTCTCAGGAGTGTTGAACTCAATCATTTTCAGAAAAGGAACTATAGTATTATATATCCTAGTTTCTAACTGATATTTGCAAATAGAGAAGAACTCATTGACTCTTGAATCACTCTTTGACACACTCAAATCACATTTCTCAACATACTATCTTTATGTGAGGGGAGATTCAAATGTTGACACTATTTCTGTGTTGAGTGTAGTGGAGTCCAACTCTAAGGAGAAAAGATAATTTCTTGATTTTCGTATTATAGGTATATTTATGTTATATAGGCAACTCAGATACTTGGTTTCACTGTTAGCATAATCAAATCCATTGTCAAGCTAAGCACTTTGAACCTGTTAGCATACGTATTGCCCACCATGGTCCGATAAAAGGAGCAGGTAGTGACTGTGATAGTGGCAGTCATGACAAGAGTGGGATTTAAACGTCTTTCTTCCTCATCCACATAATATTCCTGAGCATGAGAAAAAAGGAAAAGTGAAAAGTCATAATCCTGAATTTTTACATATTTCACAGATTTTCAAAATCTTTTATGGCATTATATAACAAAGAGCATAAAATAGAACACTGGCTAGTAAGAGAACGCCTCTAAGCTATCAAAGGAGACTTAGGTAATTTCTGTCTTATTAAAAATTGAACACAGACAGGACTTGCTAGGAGTGGCTGTCTATCTACTAACAGACCACAGTGTAGTACAGGTGCTCAGCAGCCTTTAGTCCCAAATCTTCCGGTAGAACGCTCACATGAACTTTGTGACTCTTTGCCTCATTTATCCCACCCCCTGCTGACAGGAAATCATATTTCCTTTAAAAAAAATAGCTAAATAAATTCTATTAATGCCCCATTCCTCTTATAGCACACAGAAGTCAAAATTACGTGGCCCTAGGACCAAGAGTGCTGAGTACATGAGTCATCTCATCCTAAACAATCAACTAGAAAATGCATCTCCAAAATCTTCCTTGAAGATTTTTTTTCTTTCCAAACCCAAACCGTCTACCTAGAGAGAATGAAAGTAAAATGCCATCCATGTCTAGCGTTCTTTCTAGTTCAGCAACAATAGATAAATGTCTTAGAATGTTCCCAGGCGGAGCTTCTAGAACTATTTTTCAGGAATTTCCACTAAGATTCTGTTTTGTTCAATATATCCGAAATATAGTGATAATATTAAGATACACAGTAGTATATTTTTGCCTCAGGAGATTAAGTTTCATAAATTATATTCCACAGGTTTACATAAAGGAATGGGAGTCCTAGCAGAAGTTAACTCCCATTAAAATCATATGTCCCCTTTCTATGTAAACTTTTACTTTGGATTTTTTAAACTTTAAAGTAGAAGTTACCATAAGTCAAGTTGTGTTCTGATGATGAGTTTCTGTTCTTGAAAAATATTTTTCAGAATTTATTCATTTGGAATGTGTTCATGCGTAATGATGTAAAAATATCTTGTGCCATATGTATAATTACCTTGCAAACATAAGTGAGAAAATTATGGAAGTTCCAAAACTTTGGCACCATTACAGGAAGAAAGAACACTAAACAAATTCAAGGGATAAGAAAAGGTTTCATTATTGAAAACTTCATTTAACAGTAACATTATTGAAACCTTCATTTAACAGTAACATTATTGAAAACTTCGTTTAACAGTAACATTATTGAAAGCTTTCATTTTACAGTGACATTATTTCAGAGACACACTAAGTCAGTACCTGAACCCTAGTTTAAAAGAGCTAATCTATTAAATAAAATCACTTACGGTTTCACGGTCTGACCTTGTGATCTCTACAATAGCTTTATCTTATCCTGACACCTAAGATCTCTTACCAAATACTAGGAGAGTTTCCGTGTTCAGATAACGTTCTAGTTAACATGCTAATGATTTCATTTAAAGTCAGCAAAACATCTTTGAGTTGAAACTGTCACATAAAATATTTTTATATGTATGACCATACCTTTCCTGCATTTCTCTGTCTCTGTGTTTTGATGTATTATTATTATTACTTTCTTGGTTTCTTTTTAACGCCATAACCCCTGCTCATTTCTAAGTTGGCTTCCAGGGAACCAGCCCCTGCTCCCATGCACAAAGCTTCACCTGGCTCAGATAAAACAGCCCCTGGGTGGCTGTCCCTGACAGCCATATGTCCACCGGCAAATCCTTTGACCCCAACGCCACCTCCTTTTCTGGACAGCTTCTTGGATGAATTAGAGAAGCTTGGTGCTTTCACCTTATCAGCTGACCAAGCCAAACCAAGTATCCTAGAGGAAATCCTTGAAATCAAGGAGGAGCCCTCAGTACTCCTCCCGAAGCCTCCAGCTTCTGGACCTGCCAAGCCAGCTTCCTCTCTGCTACCTGTCCCCTGCTCAGGGGTGACCTTGGCTGCACTCCAGCCTTATGAGGCCAAAACACTGCAGGATTCCAGTAAGACAACTCAGAACAAGTTTGCCAATCTGACAAAAATGGGAAAGGGCTTTGGAGGCCCCGAGAAAGTACCCAAAGTTCTAGGTGATAAGTTTGTGGCCTCTGCACACACGAATTTGGGTCCCTTGCCCCAATGTCTCCCTGTCATTGGAGAGGAAGATGAGGATATCTGTGAGGTGTTTATGTCAGGTATCCAAGGAGGGCCAGAATCTCAGGAATCAGGGGTCCTGTGGTGTGCCCATGATGGCCCAGAGGCCACACCAAGCCTGCACATTGAAGAGGAGGAAGAGGAGAGGAAACCAGCCTGCTTAAAATATCCTGTAGCCACCCCCACAGATCCTAGGACCCCTAAGGAAGACAGCAATGCAGCGAAGACCAGTAATGAGGTATTTTAATCTTGCCTAATTACTGAAGAACTAACCACTCTTACTATATTTAGATAGTACAGTTAATCACATTAATAAACATCAATTTTAGCACTGCCCTACAAGGCATCCTCTTAAGAAACACAAGCACTGCCAAAGCTGGGGGGTGGAGGAAGGATAGAAACACACCAGATTTTAGTAAGATGACATAAATATATGATATAATTCCAGTATTTATTTGTGACTACAAATTCATATTTAAACAGTCTATAATGTATAGTCTTCCTGATTTTTGTTACTAACTGTGATATCTACAGAGTTGAGCTCTTACTCTCAAACACTGTTCTAAGAACTCTTCATCATTACTTTTCATAACTCAATGAGGTGGTTATATTAGTAACCCCACTTTAGAGATGAGGACATTGATACACGGAGATGAGTCAAATTCCAAAGGCAATTTGCAAAAAAAGGAGAGAAAGAGAGAAGGAAGAAACAAAAAAGTACTCCCGTGCCCTTTTAACTCCCTGAAGAAATAATTTCTTCAAGTTGGTGGCTACATAAGACTACTGATGCATTTCCATCTTACAAACAAAGACTCTTGGGCAATGATTTTAATTAGTAGAGAAGGAAAACACCTTAAATCTTTAGCCTGTAAATTTTTCTCTTACAACAAAAACAAAAGCAAAACTTGATCTCACAAATATATCACCTGTAAATTAAAAAGAAAATTTGATTACTGGCAAAGACTGAAATTATGAAACAAAAAGAATGTTTTATATCATGTTACTATGCAAGTCACTTCCCCCCATGGATCCTTTATTTAAGCATCTTAGAAAATGAAAATAATTTTCCAAAAATCCCATAGTTTTCTATGAAGACCTTACCAGGAACACATATAGAGGTGCAAGTGACCTATACTACAGGGTGTTCTTGGGCTTAAATAAAGATCAGCACCCACGAGGACCCTCGACACCCACGGAACCCTGAGGCTTGGCTAAGTTCCTCACCCAGAAGAGAAAAGTTCACCTGAACAGAGAACCCAGTCCCACCTGCACTTGTATAAAATAAACACACTACTGAATACAAGAGATCATTCACTACAGGAAGTCAAACATGTTTCTAGGTCAGTTATTTAAATAACTCATTTTCCCTCCAACGTAATCAATAGTACGAGGCAATTAGATAGGTGGCTTTGTTCCCAGGAGCCTGTTGCGGGCAGGCAGGGGGAGGTTTCACAGTGGTTCCCATCAGGCACCCACAGGCACACGTCATCGCTCCCACTCCCCTAGCTTTGCAGCAAACTCTCTAGAAATCGCGATCTACTTTACCAGCAAGTTACAAAGAGTCATCGCTTTTCATTGTTTCTCCTTCATGTTTAGAAGGAGCCATCCTGTAAATAGAAAGTTGTAGAATCTGGGGGTTCCTGTCTCCAGCTACCCACCTCAGAGAAATGATGCCACCCACTGGGAATTCTGAATCAAATTCAATAGAAAAAGTTAGTGCTTTTCAAGCAAGAACTTGTCATAAATGTCAGTTGCCAGGGCATTTGGTAACGTTAACATTATTCGAGGTTGGGGGATAATCTCCAGAGACCAGGTAACCTTGTTCTGGACACAAGCCGTAATCACATCTTGTCTTTCCTCAATCTTTAAGCTGCCTTCACCCTCTCCGGGAGATGGAAAGTCTACACCTTTTCCCAGCTGTCTCCTTCCCTCCCTTCCTTTTCATTCTCCCTCCACCTCTGTCTCTGACCTGAACTCCACATTTTCTCAGACTCCCCAGCCCTACTTCCCTCCCCTCCTCCCCAAATACCCTTACCAACAGGAGATAAATTCACCAAAACTAAAGGTAACTGCATCCTGAGTGTGGTTTTTTGCATGTCTTTAAATGAATTTTGTTCATTAGCTGTATTTAGATTTGTGCCATCTTACAAGTTCTAAAACGCCATGGAAATATTGGTTACTAACTTTTAACATCATTGGCATGGCCTCTGTCCAAACCTTTAAAAGACACACTTACATAGCAGCTATACCCAGATTGAGGAGTAAAACAAACAAAAATGTATATATAAGAATAAAAAGTAATCACTAGATATATATTTTTTATTTATTTATTTTATTTTTTTTTTTTGGAGAAGCATCCCATTCAAAGACATTGACTCTGTGCTTGTCATCCTCTGTCCCTTCTCAGCGGGCTCATTGCCTCCCATGTGTCCTGCCCGTCAGCGGGTTCAGTAGAGCCCGAGAGTAAAAAGATCTTTGGCACTGTCTTGAGTGCCAAGACACTTTTCTTCCACAAAATGGAAGTAGGTTAATGAGGATTGCGGGAATGACACTTTCCTGTTAACAGTTCACAAATCACCCAACTCTGAGTAGTGCAGGCTGGCAGCCCTGCTGGGTTTTTAACTCCCTATAAGGATACCTTGAAAAAAGATGTCCAACAAAATTAGCGGCTGGCCCTGGAAAGAGATTTAACCACAGCATGAATGAACTCATTACAAGAGAGTTCTGGTTCTACAATCAGAATGGTCTTGAAATCTCTTCCTTTAGACAAAAGGTGATAGACGTCAGATAATAACCCATCCTCACCTCCAGTCTTTGGAAATTGAAATGGGAGCCTCTGCAGTTAAGTGAAAGCACAAAGGTTGTGGTAGAGTTAAGTTTCTGTGCTAGGAAGCACCAACACCCAACTCCGGAGAAATGCCATCTGCACAGTTTTTCAAACTCCCATCACCGCCTCCATCCACCTGAATAGTCCAGTAATGTGAATTCATCTTACCTATGAAAGGAATTTTTTGAAAAAGTGAAATAGTTTAAAGACTAGCTGCTCTCTACCCTTCATGGTTTCATTTTGGCTGGTGTGAAATAATTAGGAAATTTTAAGAATAATAATAATAATACTTCAGATAATATCTAAGACTAAGAATTTGCCTTTCCCCCACTCTTTCTGTGGTTTTCATTTTAAGGCCAAAGTATTTCTTCCTTGCCTTTCCCTTACTTGTTCTTTAGCCCTTAAGCTTTGTTAATACATGACACAGTAACTTTAGAATTGGACCTCTCTAATTTATTATTCTTTTTTGAAGATTTTACTTATTTATTTGAGAGACAGAGAGAGAGAACAGGCAGGCAAAGCAGCAGGCAGAGGGAGAGGGAGAAGTAGGCTCCTCCCCTGAGCAGGGAGCCTGACTGGGGGCTCGATCCCAGGACCCTGGGATCATGACCTGAGCTGAACGCAGACGTTTAACCGACTGAGCCACCCAGGCACCCCATGAACAACTCTAACTTAGAGAGATGATGATCTCGCCATTGTAGTCTCAAGGACAAAATCAGGATTTACACAGGTTTATTCTCCTGCAAGAACCACGCTCAATCTCATACACACATTAGGTTTCAGTTTGCAGAATGCTATGAGAGAATGGAGGTATTCACAACAATCATGTTTTCCAAGGATACTTTCATAACTACATCAAATAACTAACTCCAGAAAAATGGAGCATTTTTTCCTCTATTTTATATTACTCGAGAGCAAATGAGCATTATAAATCCCTCACTGAGCTTTTCGAAAACCTTATAAATCTATTTTTTCCATTCATGGGAAGAATATAAGTTGACTGAAGTTATCTGTGCTTGTAAATATAGAAGCAAACTGAATCAGCAGCAATGTTGTTTAGGCCATCATAGTTTAACCCCACGTCTGACACTGATAAACTGGGCTGGCCTGAGTCTTCTAAGAAGGCTGCCTGTTTCTTCCATGTCAAGAACATTACGAGTTACGCTCCTTACAAAGTAACCCTGCACTAAAAGCAAAGACAAAATCAAATTTTAATAATGTTTTAGTAGGTATAGTAGAGTATGCATGAAATCATTAAAATACTTTTATCAACCTCTACCCACCATTATTTTACTTAGTGCATGCTAACTTAATGCAGTTTTAGTCTATTATTTTCTGAGACAATGTAAGTCTTTCACATACAATCTAAAATCCTTCATAAAAGTAAAATTCACCAACACTTTATAGATGACAGAAGACTGAAATGTACATGTAAATGATGAGCGATATATAAATCAGAATTCAATATTTTCTCTAGTCTTTTGAGCATCCTTTTTGTAAATAGTGGTTTTTCATACTAAAAATTATCATAATTCTCTACTCCTTTATAAGCTGAACTTCCCCTTCCAGCTAAGAGACTTATGGTGTGTGGACTCAAGTTGCAGTGTAAGCTCTTTATGAAAAGACAGAGATACTCTTCTTTGGGTGTCTTCCAAGAAGGGCCCCTAAGGAAGACTGCTCACTCTAAAACCATCCCACCAGAAAGTAATCCCCTCGAGCACAGTTCCAACATGGAATTAAGCACTAATTCTTCCTAATATGTCCAGATGATCTTTCTGGCTGTTTATCTACATCAAGCCAACAGCTAAATGTTTTTTCTCTATGAGCCTTAATGTTCATAGAATCCCTGTATTAGCTGAGATTGGGGCAGCTTCCATACCAGAAAATAATTATAGCTTAAACAATGTACAAGTATATTTCTTTTATGCATGAAGGTAGGGCATCTAGGGCTGGTAGGTGACTCCACAGTCATCAGGAAATGCCATTTTATTTTAGCACATCATCTTCCTCAATGAGAAATTTCCACCACATGGCCCAAAGTGGCTGCACCAGCTCCAGCAGTCCCTTCCTACTGCATATATCCCATCTGTCAGAACTTATCACATGAGCACATCTTGATACAAGAAAGGTTGAGAAATAGACTTTATTCAGAATGTCCAAGTCCCTGTTAGGATTCTGTTACAGAGGATAGACGAAGAAGAGAATGAATACTGGAGAACATCAAGCATTCTCTGCCATAACCCCTAAGGAAAAATACTTAATGCATTTCTTATCTAGAGACTGCAGATGTGAGGTCAATTATTACTAATTATTATAAAAAACATTCCTCAGTGAGAGTTAACAAAACCACACACTTTTCTTTAAAAAAAGTCTTTTAGTCCTACTGAAATTCCCGTAAGCATATCAAATACTTGCCTAACAGTTTGGACAAGTAGTAGAACTTGTCTACTCCTGGAAAGAAAATAAAGCATACTCACACAAGAAAGGTTAGTTGGTTCACTGTCATATTAAAAATCTTCCTTTGAAAGAATGCCAAGATAGTCACAAGATGGAGTCAGGACAATATTCAGTATTTTATGATATTTTACCATTTTTTCCAGAAAAGCCATGTTTTCTCCTGATGTGTTTTGTTAGAAAATGTGCCCCTGAACAATGATTGAGACTTTTTATGAAACTCGGTGGGTATTAAGAGATATTTCCCTCTATCTTACCTTGCATCTGGTTGAATAAGCACAAAGGAAATAGGTCAGATCTGAGGCTGTCTTGAACCCCATTGTTAAACATTCTTGTATGTGTTCTTAGCCATCAACACTGCACTCAAACATCTTCTTGATACCAGCTTCTCTCCGTAAGTCTCTCTCTGCTCTGCCTGTTGGGTTCCTTCTGAAAGCAGCACTTGCCACCTGTGGTGTGAAAACTGTGGGCAGCCAGGAGAGCTGTCTGCAGGCTAACTGGTAAACCCTCCCCGCTCTGCAACCGTTCAAGAGTTTGGCATGCTGCGTGTGCATGAAAAAGCAAAACAGGAAAGCTCCTCCTGAAGGCCGTAGAATGAGGACAAGAACTAATTAACTTCTTATGGATTTTCCAGGCTGACCTAAAAAGTGAGATATTTGTCTTGGGTAAGCCTCCTCGTAGCCCAGTGATGTCTAGGAGATCCTGCGGCTCGCCTGTCAGAGGGCTCAGCAGTTCCCACAGGGTAGGGTCAGAACACCTGCCCTGGGGCCGGGCACGCTGGCCACCCGTCCTCAGTAGGCTGGCTCTTCCTTCGTTGTCGTTGCTGTGCTTTGCCCCTAAAGTAGAGCTAGAGATACCCCTGAGATGAAGGGACCATGATGATGGGCTGTGAAATCAGATCAACTCGAAAATCCTTTCTTGTCTTTGGGCAACGTGTTTCCCTTTTACGTCTGTATGTATCAGCTTTCTAAACACCAAAAACACAGGATGACACTCTCATCAGACAAGTAAGGGTGTAGTTAGTGTATGTTGTCTTCTCCAGCCATCTCAGGCTTCCATGTTCTCTGTCGGTTGCTGCTTTCCTTCCAGTCACCATTTTTAGTGCAAAGAATAAAGCAGTTGCTAATCGTATATGGGACTCACACACTTCCAGTAATGTTTGCTTCTGTGGCTTTCAGTTTATTTCGATTTTTTTTCTTGAATCCATGATCCTTGTTGCAAAAATATCTTGTTGCTCTGGCAATGTGTGCTACATTTGCTCCACGATCCTTTTTAAGCCTAAACCAGAGATTGGAGGGTATTTCGGTACTCCCATCTTTTGACAGCTCTGATTGAACTTAAAGGTGAAATTACTTTTCCCTGTACCTCCTTGGCTCTGTTCATATAAATGGGTTCCAAATGGGATGATCAGTTCTGAAGAAGGTAGCCAAGGCATTTGGGGATTTCTGTCTCTGCAAAAGTCTGTCTTTCATCATTTTTATTTGATAAACGTGGGTTTCACCTTACCTGGTCTGCTACGGGACTATGGTTTCCAAATTGCGAAGGGTGCGATTGGTTGTAAAGAGGATTTCCTTTTCCGCTTTCAAAAAATGTAGCTCTCTCTCTCTGTGTTTCTGCCATGTTTGTGCTTTTAGCTGGCATCATGAGCCGTCGCTTTGTTTCTGAGGCAAAGATTTGGGTTGCCATAGAGAAAGAGGAATGTTGATTTGAAGAGATTCTTAGTCTCACTCACAGAAGGGCCTTCCAGAGCCAAAACAAAAAGGAGGATTTTTTTTTCCACAATTCATATGGCCCGGCCATAAATTTCCCATGGGTCAGTGAGATGCTATGGTTTAGGTAACCTCAAGGTTTTTTTCTTTGCCGGATTTTTACATTATGTACTTATAAGTTCCCTGTGTTCATGGGGAACATAAATATTCTATATTCCTTAGATTCATGCAAAGTTGTGTGTCATAATTTGAGAAGGAAAAATAAGGCTATCGACATAAACATGGGATTATTATTAGGAGAATTCTATCGAATTCTGGTGGGCAAGTACTACCACTAACATTTTCTGGAAAAAAAATTGAAGAACTCTAGAAGTGCTTATAACTCTTTCAAATACTCTTCCACATTGGTACTTAAAGTAACAGTCAATTCTTATTAAGAATTACCAAATACTAAATATAGCTAATTCCCAGAAATGCCTCTGCAGAAGCACCAATAGACAGATGGGTTCTGGACTGACTGCGTCTCCCCATCTGAGCTAGGGAAGTATATGGTTTACTGTAATCAGAGATTCTAGGATATTCCAGACTGGTTCCCTTAGGAGCAGTGGGCTGGTTCTGGCTTCGAATATTAGCATGTATTTAAACTTGTCTCATTTGTAGCCACTTTTGATAACCTTAAAAAATAGCTACACTAAAAGGGGGGGGGGGTGAGATTGTTACATTGTCAAGGAAAAAAGTTAAATATTTAGGATTCCGTGAAAACAACATGGTGCTTCACTGGGTTTTCTCATTTTTATTGTATTCTTCAGACACATGTAAGTCTCTCTGAATGTCACAAATGTTTATGTTATATTGATCACAAAACTGTTAAGAAATTATGAGTAATGAGCAGAGTTAAAATAGAAGCACGGACCCAAAATACTGGTGGCCAAAAAGCGATCCTTTCTCAAAAATTTAAAATGTGGGAAGGGAAGTACATAGTCAGAAAAACAGATGGATATCTATTCCACAACACTCCGTGGTCTTTAAAATACCCTTTCAAGACTTTGTAGAGCGGTCCTGAGGTATATTAGCATGTTGCTGCCACTCCTCACCACTTGGGGGCAATAGAGTGCAGATTCAGGACAGATCTCTTCTCGAGGTTTGTGCCCTTGGAGTTCTAACAGCGGCGTGGGGGGAAGGCAAAAGATAGTCTCCTAAGATAATTTCCTTGAGTATCCTTAGAGAACATAAACACTCGCCTAAAGGACAAAATGAGGGTGCTGATTTTAACCAACTTAGGCCATCTATTCCATCAGAGTAATTCAAGAAATTGCCAGTCAAAATTGCAATTGTTTCTTCTTTTTACTTGTGATATTAAGAAATGATCTTTGAGTTTGGGTTTCCTGATCTGAAAAATGAAGCTGAATGGTTAGTAGGATTGTTTTTACATGACTGGAACACTTGAGAATTAATCAATCCGTGTGAGCTATCTCGGCTCTCTGACAAGAGAGGGGTAAGGTTGATGATGGCACCTATATGTAACAGAAGAAATGTATCTGTGGAAATGTGGTTTCCTCCATGGATTTCCTGAGAGGGACAAGATTTTAATCTCCATCTTGGCCAACTCTGATTTTAGAGATAATGAAGCTGAGGTGCATATCCAAAGTTACGCTGTCAACGCCCACACCAGAAGGACACAAAGGTGCCCTCATGAACAGCTACGAGTGCTACTTTTTCATCTATTAGCCAAATACGCTTAAAATAAATGAATTCAAATTCTGTAACTAGTCATCTTTCCTCAAAACTGGTTCCTCACTCTCCAGATTCACATGGAGATGATTAGTGTTAAGATAACCTTAGAAAAATTCTAGAAGTCACCATCATCTTAATTAATAAAGGCTATGATAAATCTTGGCCTAAGCATGTGAACAGTATAGAGACCCGGGAAATCAGAGAAGAGGGTGAGGAGTGTGGTTCTCTTAAAGGCTGTAGAGGAAAAGAAAAGATATATTGGGAGGGGTTGATAAAAACAAGAACATTGCTGGCTGGCACACCCAGGAACACGACTCCTTGAGACGTAGACACCTGTGGCATTAATGGAGCCACATAATTTAGCAACAGCCCAATGTGCATAATTGTCAAAGGGGCGATTCACTTAAATTACTTATGATGTGAGTCAAATTAAAGGACTTAAAAGTAGTAGAATTATAATGATGACAAGGAAAAGGTTCTATATGGATTTTCAAAGTAGATTGTTTGGTATCAAAGAACAATCTGATTTTTAAAGTCGTAGTCACATTTTAACATAAGAGATCAATGAAATTAGACCAACTGGTTGTGCCAAGCCTTGGATGCCATGATGGAAAAGTCAAACTTTGACTCAACTTAAACATACTAGAATGATTTAAACATGTAGAAAGAGCACAACGGAATATATTTTACAAAACATTTTTCTCTGAAGATAAGAACAGGTGATCATATAATATTTTCTTATTTATAACTGTGCTATGAACTATAAAGGGTGCTATGATGTTCTGTGAGACAAGAGCATCTGTCCTGGTATGTGCTTTGAAATACAGCATTTTCCGTTTTTTTAAATTACATTTTTATAATTTTTTGAGTGACTAACAGAAGCATTTTCACTATTATGTGGCTTGAACATATAATCTTTGGCAAGAAATTTTACTCCTGGAAATGTGCTTTAAATGATCCAAAGCAAGGAAATAACTCTTTGTATAAAAATATTTATAGCACTTTTGCTCAAGATGGTGAAAAAAGGCTAGACCAACTTCCACTTCTAAAGCAAAAAAGAGGAATGGTTAAGAAATCTAAAAAATATATCCACACTTATGTGAAGGAACATTATTCTGCAGTGATTTAAAATGCAAAAGAAGACTGGAAAAGTATTATAAAATATTAATAGCAGTCAATATACATATATCTTATTCCTGCATGAGCTATTTATGCATGATTGGACAAGAATTTTAAAAATTTAATAGGGTATAAGCTTATGGTTGACTTGTATTTATTTTACATATATTTATTTTTATTCATTTCTTATTTATATATAACATAGAATTATTCAATATATTTCCATTGAATTAAATGGACAACAAGGCTAGAAAATAGTTTAGTCTTCATAATTCTTAAAATTGTGTATCTTATTTCAATAATAGATACATTGTAACTTTATATTGACTTAAAGTATTGTACTCTTAAGTCATGCATGTGTTCAATAATTCTTATCCACTCTTTAGTCTGAAGTTTATATTCCATGCACAAACTGTTGAGTGAAGTTTCTAAGAATAGTGTGAGTAAACTTCCAAAAGATTGATGGCTACAAGTTTTAGTAACATAAATATTTAGTCTTATGCTAGAGAGTTTGGATGGGAAGGGAGTGAATAAAGAATTTAGGAAGGAGAGCAGATTATAGACTCAGACTGAAAGAAACCCCAGATTTCCTCATGCATTCTTGGACCAGGGGGATTTCTATGGACAATTTGCAGAGGAAAATTCCCAGCCTGTCAGTAATCCATTCAGAATTCTGGGACCCAGGAATTGGCCCTGGTGTCTACGGACATGGACTTACTAACTAATTCAATAGTCATCAAGAAGAGGATGGTTTTGAAATGTGTTATGAAATAATTGTAATGCTTTTCTTTTCCTGAAATAGTAACATTTAGGTAGTCGGTATAAACAATGTCGAGTTTACATATTCAACAAACATATTAACTTTCATTCGTTGCAATATTTATGTGGATATATGGGATGCTAAGGTTTGTCATTTCCAATATTATAAGTATCTATTACAGATACTGGTCTTGATGCTTAGTTTAAAAAGAAAGGAAACTCTTTTGAGAGTTCAGTGCACTGGAAATTTCTACCAATATTTCTCTTCTAAGGTAAAATGTTACATGTTACCTGGATATTGTTTGTTACATTCTATTTAAAGTTCTCTGTTTTCTCTTTTTAAAAATGCATGTGCTCTCTCCACATTGAGAACAGAGAGTGTTAATTCCAATGTAGCATGGGATGTCTGCCTATCTATATTTTCATCTGTACTGTACGTGAAAATGTTGTCTGTGAAGGAAAAGTAGAATGAATGTGGATACTTTGCTGTTAGACTAAATGTGGCCTATTTTCTGCTTGTTTGAGAAAACGCTGAGGAATAAGGTTGTATGAAGGTGTCCAGACTTCCCATTCTGGTGGTTTGGTGTCTATGTTCTTGCCATATTCCTGGCCTTTGAAAAATCAATGGGACTAAACCCTGACTTTTCCTTAATGCTTGAGCAGACTAGATTGTAGATATATTCAAAACATTTGAACCTTGGTTATTTTGATTTAATGCAAAGCATCCTTCAAAATATTTGAATTATTAATCCTGCAGAACCCCTTTGTTTTTTTTTTCCTTCCTCTTGGTTTTTTACAACAGGAAATATTAAATGTCAAGAAAAGTACCATGCCATTATCCAAATTATTTTTTACTTAGTACCAGTTTAAACACTGATTACATTGAAAATCATTTCATTTCAGCCACAGCGTCCTGTGTTTACTCATGAAAACATTCAAGGTGGGGGGGAACCGTAAGTATTCTTCTTATCTTCTAAGTTCGAGACTGACATTGACCCACAAAATAGAGAATTGATGTACTAAAACAGAGGCCTGTTCAGCTTTGCAAATGAGAGAGAACAACCTAACACGAGGCTCTTTGATGAAGAGAAATTACAATGCTCTCCATCTTTCATAACAGAGAGCAGAAGTTCATTTTGAAAAGAAACCTGTGATTTTGGGTAGAAGACTGATTTACACACCCAGAAAAGCCTTCCAATGTTCCAGTGATGCCCAAGACTTATCAATCTGCCTCCTTCTCTGTTCTACTCAGCATGTGAATTCTAGTTACCACAGCTTGAAAGACACAGAAATGTCCTAACATTGTCTGTACACATATTCGAATACTAAAAGAATGTCAAAGTAGACCAGAAGTGATAAGTTAATAATGCAATTCCAGAGTTCCTAAATTCTTACACGGGTCTTTGGAAATGGCAGTGTATTAAGACCTTCGATGTCATTCAGCTCAAAGCCTTTCCACACTTTCAAACTCCCTCTCCTTTCTGACCTACAAGTCAATTTAAATTGAAGGTGTCACACATTGTCTTTAAGATTCTCTTTCTGTGTGTGTCTCTTTCCGTTCCGTTTTGCCCATCACAGATGTTCAGAGGCTATCTAGTTCCTACTGCCTACTGCCTAGTCTGTAAGTCAGGAGTTAGACCCCTGGGAAGGAGCAAGGAGGGAACTAAACCTTGTCAGGCAGACCCAAGCCCCAGCAGAACCACCCTCTGGCCCACTGCCCATGTTCTGCTCAGCCAGGGCCTAACTAGTCAGCAAGGCCAGCTGTGGGGCCTGGTGCCTTCTCACCACGGACTCCCTCCTCACTCCTCGGAGACCTGGCCCTGAGCTAACAGCAATGCTCTCAGAAACCATCTCTCACCTCTTACCAAGTGCATCCAGAAAGCGCTCCTCCTTAGGGAAAAGCTTAGGCAAAGAACAGGCTGGAAGTAAGAATCCCTTAAAGATTCATTTACCTGGGGGAAAAAAAAAATCCAATAAGACTTGTAATTTTCAAGTTTGGGTTTGTTTCCTTATTCAAGCAGATGATAGGAACACATCACAAAAAAAAGTAAATTCCAAGCCTGTCCAGGTCTGTTGCATTACCAACACATTGTATTAAGCAGCTTTAAGGAGCATATGAATTGATAGGTATATTGTGTTTTACCGTTTCATGTCCTATAAAGTTAAAACTTCCATGTGTGGCCATTTGGGTATCTACCAAACCACAGAGCTCACAGGTGGGAAAAGGCATGTTTTCAAGGCCCTGCTATGGACATTAGAAGACATTCTGTACTAAATTTCTATCTGATGAGTGGATTATGGGGTGTCACTAAATCCCTTTCATGTAAAAACTGGATTGGAGTACAAATAGGAACATCGTGTTATAAGGTTGCCGCAATTCAGAATTAGGATAAAATATGTTCTCGGAAAAGTTGCAAGTTTATAGAGAGAGCTTTGAGCTTGGCTGAGCATTTCTTATTTAAAAGACAAATTTCTTTTTGAAGCATCTTATTGCCACCACCATCATTCATCTCACCAACACATCCTTCAAAACATTTTAATTGTAATTTAGCTCCATTTCCTGTCGTGCAACACTGATTTTGAAAGCCAACAGAGGCAGGGGAGTTTCCTGAAGATTTGTTTATGTGTCCATGAAACTCCATTTTTTTTCTTTTTTTTTTTTTTTGTGGCCTAATTAAACCCGAATGGTAAGTAGATTTTGACAAGCACACTGGCTTTTGTCATACCAAAGTGAAGTAAGAGTTTGTGCCAATTTGGGGATTTTTTTTTTTTTAAGCTCTTGGAACCTTGAGATTCCTCCAGCATCTGGGGTTCGATGGCCTTAAAGAGGCTTTTCTCCATATGAGGTTGGACAAGCGCCTGAGGGAGGGAAGGCCTGGAAAGACCAGTCAGAGAATTGGTGTTTCCCAAAGTGAGAGCTTTAATGTACATCCATTGAATTAACAGCCCAGGAATGACTGTCTCCCTCATTGGAAAAGGGACCAAGTTGAAATCAACTTCCCCCCTATGAATATACAAAAGCTACCCTCCCTTCACCTAAGCAGCCTCAAAATCAAATCCTTAAAGCAAACAACAAAAAAATTTGTCTACTCCAACCCTGGCTGGCCCTATTGCAAACATCCAAATTAAGTAGTATTGGTATTTAACCCCTCCCTGTCTTCTTATTTTATTTTTTCCTTTAACCACGGCTCTGGGAATCTGGCTACTTTTCTCTGTCCTTCACCACAGTCAGAATCCTTTCCCAACAGAAGACATCAGATGCCCAGTTTCAAAAGCGTATAAATGGCAGAAAAGATTTTCTAGGAAGACAAATATTAAAGGAAAGAAATCTCTAATGTAGTGATTTCCGGGTTTGGTGCCAGCCAGGGTAGATAATGTATTCTAGGAGACGATGTTCTCTCCCAGGCAACTGCCCCCACGCCCAACCCCTGCCAGAAGCCAACTTTATCTGGGTCCCCCAATCTGAAAAAGTTCATGGACAGAGAGGGAAGCACATGGAGACATGTCCCAAATTTATGACATGCTTGAGTTCAAATGATAGGGAAATTTTGTTCCACCAAAATGTGATTTTCTGACTGAATGAAGTAATTAGAAATAAATCATTCTTGTCCTAGCAGTATTCAACATTATCTACTTTCTAAAGTTGACTTAAAAAAAAAAATTCAGAATACTCTGAAATGAGGTTCTTATTACGATATATTGGCAGAATTACATAACTGTTAGAAGAAACAGCAAAAACAAATTCACTGATTTTCTTTTAAATCCCCCTCATGATACTGGTAATATTTTAGTGGTAATATGAAGTTTTCATGTACCTGCATATCAAATGCTTCCTGAGCTGCACAGCTGCTAGAATTTGTGTTTTTACTTTCCAAAATGCCAGTCTCCATTAATATGCATTAAAATACATACTATTTTGTTACCACAAATTCCATTTTACTGATCAGTGTCACCAAAATAAAGGCTCTCGACGAATTTACGCAGAGAAACGAAAGTGGTAGCATCCTATCAGTAATTCCTTTTCATGTAAAATTATTTCCAGGGAGAGTTTCCACATCAAACACAATTTCTCCAGGACCCATTTTAAAAAGAAACTTATATACATAATCTACTGTTTGATATTGACTCAGTCATCACTGAGCGCAGAATTCATCTGTTTGACTTCACAGGTGAATTACATCAGATTTTCAAATTGTAAATCCTCACAAACACCGATTCAAACTATGAAACTAAACTGCTTTAAGGAATTCTTATTGGTGAAAAAAAATAACTTTCTCTTTTACAGTAATCCCCAGATAGCGATTTAGAAGACATGTCTGAAATAGTTTGTACGTCTCCATTTAGAACCATTAAAAATTCAACTTGGAAGTTGCAATTATTTGCTTTTGATTATGGCCAACTAAAACAATAATCCCTTCTCGTTACATCCCTGAATAATATACACATCACTTCTTTTATATTCTGTGCTATTATTTAATGTCCTCATGGTATCTATCATAGGCAACTGGAATGCAGGTCTGACTTATAAGTGTCAAAATGTTTTAATCCAACTTGTGGGTATTCCGACCTTCCACAATTTTCCTCCGTGTAGTTTTAAAATGTTATCAGAGTGGTCTAAACCCCATGAAAGCCCAAATATTTCTATTTACATTACATGCTTACCAAAGACTTACACTATCAAGTTTCATGTATTAATAAGGATAGAAATGTTAAAAGTAAAGTGACTATGTACAATCTTCTGTAGTTTCACAAAAGTGTAAAGATTTGTCTTTAAACACATCCATTTGTCCTGTTTAAGGTTTCAGGCTCTGTATAACTATACTCCTAGGAATGAAGATGAGCTGGAGCTCAGAGAAAGTGACGTCATTGATGTGATGGAGAAGTGTGACGATGGATGGTTTGTGGGTATGTGGACACTGCCTTTCAGATGCCTTTGGCCATTTTATAATTTGCTCATGTTTGCTCATTTGTGATAGTCCACCTTCCTTTGCTTTCGTGATGCCTCTGATCATTCACGCATTACATATGCACCGTGTAATCCCGAGGCAACACTGCATCGCATTTTTTAAAGTAGGTTCCACACCTAGTATGGAGCCCAACGCGAGGCTTGAACTCACAACCCCGAGATCAAGACCTGAGCTGAGATCAAGAATCGGACGCTTAGCCAATTGCCCTTCATTGCATTTATAATACGGTTTTCTGGTATATGTGATTTTCTGATAGTTTTACTTTCAATTCAACTGAGAGAAGAAAGTTGCTTTGGATAGCACCAACCAGGAAAGCCTGAGATCTAAGAACCATAACAACAGTGTTTCCTAGTTGAGAAATACTAACACCCTCTTCGGTGGGCAATGTTAGGTGTCAGCAGTGGGGATCTAATTGGAGAAAACAAGATGAAGTCTGCAATTCGTCTACGTACTCAGTCTGATATTAAATAACCCTGAAAGTTCAATGATTGATCTTCATTTTAATTTTTGGTAGAAGTTGAGAGATGTTCTTACCTTCCTAAAAGAAGAATAGGGGGTACCTGGTTGGTTGAGTGCCTGACTTGATTTCGGTTCAGATCATGATCTCAGGGTCATGAGATCAAGACCCACATCAGGCTCCCTGCTCAGCAGGAGTCTGCTTGTGGAGTCTCTCTCTCCCTCTCTCTTGACCCCTCCCCCCACTAATGCATACACACTCTCTCTCTCTCTAAAAAAAATAAAGCTTAAAAAAATAAGAGTAGAGCTCTGTTGAGGAAACATTTGTAGACAAGATCATATAATGGGGCGCAAAGGAAAGAGGGAAAAAAGAAATAAAAGCACAGGAGGACAAGAGAAGACAAGATGAAGGAAAGAGAGCTTTCTATAGACAGGCCATCCGTGGGGAAAACGATGAAAGTACGGAGGTCACATCCGCAGCCACAAGCCTCTGCTTCTGTTCATAGAACTCTCCCGTCCCGCGTGATCTCCCATGACATAATAAAACTGGAGGGTGACAATGTCCCCGTAATGCCATTAATATTACACCCTGTTGAAGAGGGTGTCAGACTCCTGGCTCACCGAACAGAGCCTGGCTGCTGGGCCATCCTGTCACACTGCCAGCCTCGACGTCCTCCCGAGACTGTTCCACTCAAAGGCTGAGCATTTGTTTAACCTGGGTGTGGGTGGGAGGGCAGCCTTCCAGCTGGAGAAACAATGAAGGCATCAGGCAGTTCAGTTGAAACTGCTCCCTTTTGTCTTCCTACTGTGTTCAAGTGAGATCTTTCTTTTCCAAAGCCCGCAAGGCTTGCTTGCTTCATGACGGCTTGTAAGCGAAGAGTGTTCTAGCCCACATATATAAACCGATATTTCATCGTTATTCATTCCATTTATTGCTTCTATTTTCAGGAACTTCAAGAAGAACCAAATTCTTTGGTACTTTTCCCGGAAACTATGTCAAGAGGCTGTGAATCGCTGTCTCCCTACATTTCAAGTCCCATTTCAGCACCACATCTGCAGACCCTTGCCTGAAAGAGCCCCCTCAGCGCCCCCCACCCCCAATGTCCTTCCTTCTGGTCTCCTCTAGAAGTCCCCCAGCCCTCCCCACCTCTACCTGCCGCCAAACCACCAGCAAAGGGACTGCCGCTGTCCAGCCCTGGGGAGGCTGGGGGCTTGCTTCTGCGTGAACTTGCGTAGTCCTGATTTCTGCTCTAAAGTTGGAAAAGTCGCTATGCGAGATCGGAGAAAAGATCGTTAGAGTTAGAAAGGGAGAAGTATTTGAGGCAAAAAAAAAAAAAAAAAAAAGAAAGAAAGAAAGAAATATCTGAAGAATCTCTCCAGTCCACTTTGAAAGGCATTCTCCCCTCAGGCAACCAGAGATTGTTTATTCCCAAATGCTGTGGTTTGTGTTTTCACATTCTTAGCTTGGCAGTGTATTTTCCTTTCACGAGTTTGCCTAGTGTCCTGGTTTACACGACATGAAAAACTGTCCTTCGGCTATTGTTTGCCTGCACTTACAATTGTAATACGCACAGTGATTACAAAACCTAAAGCAAGCGTAGGAAAGTTAATTCGGATGAGTGTGATTTTATTGACTGGATGTGAGTTTTCAAATAGGAGTCTTTTCCTGCAGTTTTTTTTTTTTCTGTACTTTTTAGACGTGCAAACCGTAAGTGAATAAGAGCCTTTGGTAATAATCATGAGACTATAAGAGGTTTAGCTAGACTACAAAACAAACAAACAAACAAAAAACAAAAACCTATTGTGTTGTAAAGTTGCATTGCTATTTTATATTAAAATGTAATAATCAGCATCATGAACAATGAGCTCTTAGTGTTTTATTTATCTGGTAAAATTTTAATAAAAGCAGTGTTAGTGAGAGGTGCAAAGAATTATTCTAACATAGACACTTGAAAGTATCTGTAAGCAATATTCATAGGTAAGTTTTCACTGTGTGCGCACATACACATTTGAGATTGTACGAGAACAGACAATCCGTATGATGTGTTGTACATTTTATGGAAATGTAAAGGAATCCCACACGTTATTTTATAGAAATAGAGTACTTCAGAAGCATCACAAGTATTATGGCTGGTTTTAGCAAGGATTACGATCAATACAATTATTTTTACTACGATAGTTATTTTTCTTCTATGGAACTCAGAATCCTGGCAACATTTGAGGACAGGAATATGTTGAGCCTGATTTTCCTGGTGTGTGTGAAATAGTTCCTCGGAATCCATGAGGCACTTTCGGAAGCAATGTTAAATCCTTCAGGTTATGTTTTCTGCCCTGAAGTAGAAATTTACAAAATGGCTTTGGGACCTGAAAGATTTAATGTGGCTAACAGTGCCTGAACTACACATACCTTGAGAACTAGCTTTGTATTTCTTATGACTTTGCATAAGAACTATTCATATCTGGATCTTGAGCACCTTATAGATTAAACATTTTATGGCATTTCTTCTGTGGACAGTGATTGATCTTTTCACAATGTATGTAGACTCCAGAATTTTGTACATACGTTTGCTCCTTTTTTTGTACAGACTATTTAGTTGTCGAGAAAAACGGAAATTTACTAATTTGGTCTTTATCTTTCGCTTTAAACTAAGCTAAAACACTTTCCAACAGATTATCCTTTACATATCCCACAGATCACAAGCACGCCTTGATTGTGCAATTCTGTAAGATAGAATTTATGCAAAATTATGAACTTAAAAGATCTTAGCAACCAAACTGAAATGTACTGATTACAGAGGAGTTTCATTCGTTAGAAGGTAAAGAAACATCTTCAAGTAGCTTACCTTGATAACTGTCAAGTTTGCAACCAGCTTTATATCTTAAAGGCTTTGGGTTTGAAATTAAGTCAACTGCATGCAGCTTTGCTGATAAATGAGTAATTATCCTTGATGCCATTTATGAGAAAAGATTTCAATATCTGTTGCCTGTCATATTTAAGAAAAATTACTGTTTCTACTCTCTGTATCTGATTTTAAAAGAAAAAAAAATGTTCATACCTGGCTTTCAGGTAATTGACTTTGAATTCTTACAAGCGAAGGTCATTGTGTTTTTCTTGAATAGACACCTAATAAATTTTGCTTGGAAGTATACTTCAGTTTTTCTTTTTGACATTTATCCTTAAGGAAATTGTGTAGTTTATCTCAATTTCTTTGACAAACCAAGAGAAAATGCATTTGTTCTATGTTCTCTTGATACACAAATGGAGAAAAGAGGTATATGCATCATCTCAGAGAAGAAATGTTCTTTAAACCTGCCACTAAGACTTGTTTGCTGAATACTCTGGGGCTGAAAATTACTACTCAGCTAAAACAACACATAATATTTATGCCTCAAAAACAGCTATTTTTTCCAAGAAGAAGTTACTTGCAAGAAGTTATAAGCACTGTCTCAATTCAATCACCTTAAATTTTTAAAAATTCTTGCCCTAAAAAGCTTTATCACCACTGTCATGGCAGTCTCTTGTAAGACCCACAAGCTTTCGGGGAATTTTAAATTATGTGCTTTACTCTCACACAAATAGTAAATAACTAGCTTTCCTACTTGGATCCTTTTTTCTTTTAAAAAAATTTTTTTATTTAAATTTAATTTAGTTAACATATGGTACACAATTAGTTTCAGGGGTAGAATTTAGTTATTCATCATTTTCATGTAACACCCAGTACTCATTCCATCACGTGCCCTCCTTAATACCCATCACCCAGGTACCCCATCCCCCAACCTCCCCTCCCCTCCATCAACCCTCAGTTTATTTGCTAGAGTTAAGAGTCTCTTATGGTTTGCCTCCCTCTCTGTTTTTGTCATATTTTGTTTTTCCTTCCCTTCCCCTGTGTTCATCTGTTTTCTTTCTTAAACTCCACATATGAGTGAAACATATGTTATTTGTCTTTCTCTGGCTGACTTTTTTCACTTAGCTTATTACACTCTAGTTCCATCCACGTCGTTGCAAGTGGCTAGATTTCATTCTTTTTGACGGCTGAGTAATATTCCATTATATACATTTTTTTATATTCCATTACATACTTATATAAATATATTCCATTCCATTATATATAATTCCATTATATCATTCTGTATATATATATATATATATATATATATAGTGTATACACACACACATACACATACACACACACACACACACACACACACACACCTCACATCTTCTTTATCATACTTGGATCCTCTGTAACAGACCTTGGACACTTGTGGCTCTATGTGTTTGCTTCCTCCCACATCTTTGTCTCACATATTCAGAAACCCGTACATTTCTCTGTTGGCAATTCAGTTCTCAGAAGTGTTTTTGTCACGTTACTTCTCCTTAATGCCCACCTTGCTCTCTTCTGTTTCAATGGAAAATTTCCACTGTATATTAGCTTTTCACTAAAATGTGTTCCCTTTGTGTGAAGAATATGCTCCAGAATATTCTTTTGCACGTGTTTCCATCAGAGCATTTGTGGGTCATTTAACTAGGTAAATCAGAATCCAATACGGTCAGGATGCTTGTCTGTGTGTACTCAGGTCACTCCCTGTTGCTCTCCTCCAGTGCATCTCTTGCCAAATGATCAGCATTCTAAAAATATAAATCTGGGATTTTAAAGGCACATGCATCAAAATCTAGATTTCCTCTTTTACTTGAGAATTAATACTTTGTGCTTCTCTGTAAAATCTGCTGAGATGCCACGGCAGCTTCACCAAAGCCCTGAGGTCAGAAACCCCTCTCCACCTTTGTGGTTCTCCGAGACTTCTATCACAGCCATCCAAGTACTGCTGTGAGGTCTGGAGCAGCAGCAGCCACTGTGTGACCCTCCTGCCAGGCTTTCTCATTGTGGATGTCAGCATTCTGGATAGAATATTGAACTATTGTTTGCTTTAGAGTCATCTGATCCTCAGTAACATATCTTACTCGATTTTATGCCAATACACACTCATCAACATACACCACAAATTACTTCCGGCATCTCATTTAGGCTACTGAAGCCCCCCCAGTAGGTGAAGTAGGATCTGTTGTTGTGAGCCCCACATGGCCAGGCCATGGAAAACACTGTCTGCTTCTCTGCCTTTATCTGCTGTGGCTCACATCTGAGCATTAACTGGCCCAGGTCAGTGGAAGAGTAGCAGCAAGGGACCCTCCCGTATGATAGGCCAAATTTTAATCCATCCAGTAACTACACTCTCCCTAAAAGCTAGCATATATATGTCCATTTCTTATTTGACAGAAAGCGAAAAGAACCTGTTTGAGTAACTGTTTCCATGAACTTTCTTTGCTTGATCTCTCTGTGTAGGTGGTCACTTTGTGTGGTCTGAGCATTTCTTCCTACTGTTTTCCAGATTTTAGCCACAAAAGGAGATATTCTTTAAAGAATCACTCAATCAAAAAGACTAAGTACTCTGACAGTTTCCAAAACCCTGTTTATTTAAAGATTTAATAATTTCATCCTCCTTTCCGGACTGTAGACTTCTAACCGTTGTTTATGTATCAGTTATGGTTTCAAATTATCTCCTCATCATGAATGACTAGGTCAGAGTACAAGCAGAGACTGGTGTTATGAATGAATGGTCTACACCAGGGATTGGCAACCTAAGTCCTGTGGACCAAATTCAGCTTGCTACCTCTTTTTTTATGGCTTGTAAATTAGGAATAACCGTGGTTATTCCCATTGTTTGTACAGATATACATTGGCTATCTATTTGGTGGTAGGGAACACTAATTTTGAACCCCAATTAAGTGAGATGTTGTCTCCCCAGAAAAAGAATTCCTTTTTTTTTCCCACTGGTAGATCTATATTATAAAAACTTTACCCTGATACTGTTATATTTTGAATTTTATCAATTAATTGGTAGAAATTTGCTCTTTTTTGTTATGTGAGTATGTGCGTAATATCTTCCATTTTGCCTCGTGCCCCACAAAACCTAAATATTTACTATCTCTGTACAGAAAAAGCCTGTGAACCCCTGGTCTATGCCAATTGCCAGCAACAAACGTGAAAACTGACCAGAGGGAAAGGAATGTTGGACATGGGCTGTATTACCAAG